GTCGATTTATTCTCATTATTGGAAAAAATATATATATATTATTGCCCTCTCCTAAGACACCCTTCACGGGAAACAATTCACAGAAGAAGCACAAAGGGGAGAACATTTAATGCTATTTGTCAATTCTGTGGCCACGAGGAGACAAATTCTTATCCCCTGCCCCCCTGTCCCTCCTCTACCTCACCTTCAACAGCGTTACACTTCACACAATGATGTTTTCCAATACCTTTCTTACTGTTGTTTTTCCTCTTCAACCCTGCCTCAACTTTCTCAACTCAAACTTTCTCTACCCAAGCCTTCTCAACTCAAGCTTTCTCTACTCAAGCTTTCTCAACTCAAGCTTTCTCAACTCAAGCTTTCTCTACTCAAGCTTTCTCTACTCAAGCTTTCTCAACTCAAGCTTTCTCTACTCAAGCTTTCTCTACCCAAGCTTTCTCAACTCAATCTTTCTCAACTCAAGCTTTCTCAACCCACACTTTCTCAACTCAAACTTTCTCAACTCACACTTTCTCAATTCAAGCTTTATCAGCCCAAGCTTTCTTTACCGTGGGTGTCTCATGATTTCTCCCTCTGTTGCTTCATTTCCTTTTCCTACAACCTCATTTGTTGCTCTCTCTCCTTCTCCCCTCCTCTTCATTATCATTCATTTTCAGTTCTTCCTCGTCGCCTTCTGCATTATTCCCCCATTTCCGTTTTCCTTCCCTTGTGAAATCTCTTTTAGTGTGTTTCCTTCATTCTCCCTCTTCGTCTTCCCTCATTTCCTTACGTTTGTCCACTATTTGTGCGTATATTATTCCCTTCCATTCATTATGTATTTCTATATATTTCCTGCCTGTTTAGTTATGTATACAATATATGGTAAATTACTCTCCCAATGTTTAATTTAATCCTATTGAGAAGAGAAGAGAAGAGAAGAGAAGAGAAGAGAAGAGAAGAGAAGAGAACATAAACCACATCGAGAAAAACACACCACCATTACTAAGTCCCAACTTCACTCCGCGTGCATGTCAAAGAACTACTCCAACCTCACCACTCCTCCCTCCGCCACCGCCTCCTGCAACCACTACAGCTCACGCCCACTACCTGACAGCAGAAGAAAGCAGCCAATAAGCTCGCCGCCTTGTGTTTTCACCGATGTAGTCTATTCCCGTGCTCCAGGGATTCCACAACTTCGTGAGAAAGTCCTCTGAAGAAAATTGTCCATCAATGGCAAACTCCAGGAAGGTATTCTTCACCGTCAGGAGCTGTGTATCATCCTAGACACGATGGGATTACGACTTTTTTTTTCTGTTTCATATATTTGTCAAGGCTAAAACGTGAATCGATTTTGTATTATCAGATTTTTTTTTTTTTTTACTGATTACGTGAAAAATCCCACTGAGAGAGAGAGAGAGAGAGAGAGACTGTCCAACACAGGTAAAACACTTTCCGTAAGGTCAGATAATGAGACCATCGGGTTACCTAACTTCGCTAAAAATGACCCATAAAACATTCTTCACACGAGTTAGTATCCCAGACCATAACAAGACCCTCTTTGTTTACGTGCTGGTTTATGTACCGGAATTGTCATTAATGGCTCCATTGATTCCTCCCTTGCTGTTAACATTTCTCTCACTCCAGGCGTGACCTCAGGAAAAACTTTACATAGATAAAAAAAACTTAACTACTCTCTAACAACTGAATTTGGTGTCTTAGTTATGATCAAGAGTGGTAGAAGAGTTGAGAGTCAAGCGGCTGTGAGGAAGGTGATTAAGGGAGATAAATAAAAGAGTTGTAAGAGTTGTGGATAAGAGAGTTGTGAGAGGGCTAGTTTTAAGGGTGTTGTGAGTAAGGTGTGTGACGTCATCCATCCGTCCATCCATCCATACATCCATCCATCCATCCATCCATCCATCCACCCATTCATCCATCCATACATCCATCCAACCATACATCCATCCAACCATCCATACGCACCATTTGTGATAAGTTGCTTGAAATTCCCTTGAAATTAGTTGGTCGAATTGATGTTCCAAATGTATGAATAAAGATAAACTGAAGCAACAACAGACAAGCAAGCGTTATTTAAAGACTGTTAAACATGACAGACCCCCCAAAACAAGACAGACACGACCACGTACAGACAGACAGACAAATAAACAGATATATATAATTAAAGAATGACAGATTAACCTAAAAATGTTCAACAGACAGACAAGCGACACACATGACAGACAGACAGACAGACAGACAGACAGACAGACAGACAGACAGACAGACAGACAGACAGACAGGCAGACAAGCCCAACAGACAGATGATATTACATACAAGTCCGACAGACACACACACAGACTATAGTACCCAAACCCGTGAGAATTAAAAATGAAATATTTTTTACTTACTCCACATCAAAGAAGGAGGAAGATACTCGTTCACCAGACACAAGCAAGGGCCTCTCCTACGCTGCTTGCTGGAGTACACAACACAAAACTCGCCAACACACTGCTTTGTACTCTAGATTCTGAGTACGGTAGAGTCTGTGTGCAATTTTGATACCATTTTGGATATCTTTTTGGTGTGTGTGTGTGTGTTTTAATTGTACTCTAGATTCTAATTACGGTTGATTTTTTTTAAGTTCTAGTTTCTAAGTTATTCAGCTAGATTTTCCCTTACGTCTCCACTTACTAGGATAATTTAAAGTACACGTACCTTTGAGAATCTATCACCTGGACTCTGCTTTACTAACAGTCGTGAATAAGTAGTAACACCGAACACTCACCTGAAAATAAGAAAACAGACTGAGTTATATATAGTTATACAAATTAAAATCGTAACACACGAAGAAATATATAAATCAACATAAACTATATAATAGAAATAAGTATATACACTAATATAAAAATTTTTGGATATGGTCTCCCTAATTACTCTACTGGAACAATCTTCATAACTATTGCATTTACTCTCATAAGCAGCAAAAGTACATCATGTATATATTAAAAACAAATATATTGATCTCATCGTAATCAAATAATTTCTCAATTTATCTTAATTAGTAAAATTGATATTGTTCATACATAATTACAGTTATACGAATTACATTAAGTACAATATCTTCGTTAAAATTACGCTACTATTAGTCATTAATAACATCATTAATAGTCACAATGAAACTTAAAATGCATTGAATTACGTCAACATACTGAGTAACCTGACCAAAAATACGAAATACCAGGTGAAATTTACATTCTAAAAACCATACTAATACATTATCCATAACCAAACTTAAAATGCACTGAACCACATAGTCAACATACTGGTAACTCACACAAGAAACAGGAAATTCAGGTAAAGTCTAGTTCTGGGTTGGAGTGTACAGGTGTGGTCGAGGTGGTGAGTGTTCTATGAATTAAGAACCTGACACCCGCCACACCACCACAGAACCACCACAGACTTGTTATAAAATGTTGATGCATCACAGTTCACCAACATCAAACAAACACAGGTTGAGTCGGCCATTATTCAGGAGTATATAGGAGAAACTATTAGACCATTATGTAGGATAGTTAAGACCCCCAACAAACACCTGAAACTAAGTAACTACCAAATCATTCTATAGACACACACACACACCCATCCACACACACACACCCACCCACACACACACCCACCCACACACACACACACACACTTAGAATGATGAAAATACCGACCATTCTTAAGAACAGTTAATACATACTCTACTTCCTAGTTGACTCAGCCGACAAGTAAACAAGTGGTGTAGGAGGGCAGATCGTCCTTCCTTCCAGGGCTCAAAAGATGAAACATATGATCCAAACTGACCGCTACTTACTAAAAGGTATAAACGCAAATTGAAAAATGAAAGAGAAACTAAAATTCAATGACCTAATGTGAGTTATAGAATATTAACTGAAGACAAATGCATTATCCTTTCTTGTAGGCAATCTACCAGGTGTTCTAGAAATTCAGAACTTCTGTTTTACGAGAAAATAAGAACATAAACCAGGTGACGGCAGCCACCAGTCAACATAACGAAAGAAAACGATATAATAAAAAATAGTTCAAGAATTATTAAAATCTGGATAATCCGTCCACGTCCACTAAAACTTCAAAGGTCCTCAAAGTATCAGTTGATATGTATCCTTCAGTGACTACCTCTCATACAAGCGAGGTCACATGTCTCACCAGGTCCTTTAGTCACTCAACCTCAGGAGTGATTTGCAAACCCTGGTTATGAAGACTTTAATATGATACACTTTATCCAGATGCAGGTCATAATTTTTTTTTTATTATTAAATTATACTTTCAAACTCGAAGGGTTAATCGTGTGGCGACCAAGGGATGAAGTCCTTTAAAGATTTAGGTTCCAGGGTAACTGAAACGACTTTAGATGTATGGGTAGTCAAGTTCCACAATTCCACTGACCTTGCATCACTATCCAGGGATAAAATAACATGCATTCTCAGCCCAAGCAATCTCTGAGAACCTGGAGGGGGTCCATAACATTTAGTTGTTTTATCTCCCTAGATTTCAATATGTCAATTATTAGATTAAAACAAAGGGAGGAAGGGGAAGGTTACGAGAGCATGTTGACAGGAAGAAAGTTTTCCTTGTATGTTTCACTTTCCCCTCTCTCGGGCTTTGGTTCTCAAGGTTATAATTTAACCACAGGCGGTAACCCTTATACATACACACACACACAGATCCCCACACAATCACATAAAGAATATCTCTGCCCACGTAGAACCTTGCCTCACTCGGCACCATTTTATCGTCACACCCATTTTCCACGCCAAGTAAAGCCCAACAAAGACAATATCTCCATTCTCTATCCTTCCTCCATGACAAATGTCACAAAAACATATGACACAACAGGTCACTTGGCGCAAGGTGTCACGTGCACGGCAAGTGTGGATGTGAGCGAGCAGTGAGCCGTGCACTATGTGAGGGAGGGGTGAGTGCAGCACCACACACACACACACACATAAAGCCCCAGTAACAGGTATATAAGGCACAGTAGCCAGCATCAGTGTACCAGTCTTCCTCACCACCTCTACGCCTTCAAGTCACCAACATGTTCCACAAGGCAAGTTTAATATTAACCATACTTATGTAGCTTTATCTCCTCTCTTGAAACAGTTTTTTTGTGTGTGTTAAAATCATTAAAAATTCATTTCGTTATACTTGAAACTTGCTTAACCTTCCAGCAACAAGATTAAAAATATAGACTTTATCAACAAAACAGAAAATTTAACAAAGAAAAAAATTCACGATTATTCTGTTTCTTTGATTGTTGACGGAAAACCTCAAGTCTTAAACAGTCAAAGTTAACATCATGGCAGCAGCTGGTATAGTACAATACAGTCTGGCATTAACGATATTAATTGCTGAAACTGGAAACTACAATGCAATTTCAATACTTTAATTAAATCTATTTTCTCATTAAGCATTACTCAACTTATTTTTATGAAATTTTCACATGAAATTGTAAATTACCAAGAGGCAGAAATAATTATAAACTTTCATAAGCTGATCTAAAAAATACCATTACCACAAACATTATTGATCTCTAATTTTAAATGTGATTCTCTGATAAACACATACAGTGAAACCTTTATATAACGGACTTATCTTGCCATTTAATCCGTTAGATGGGGGGTTTCACATCTAACGGACCCTCGATATAAAGAACTTTCAGACTTATATTGTTCATTATGGAGGTTTCACATCTAACGGACCCTCCCTATAACAGACTTTTATCTCCATACAGTCCGTTATATGGAGGTTTTACTGTAATTAAGGACAAGGTAATATTTTTTTCCCCACTTACAAAGTTCTAATTCCATTTATTTAACACTCGTATCAAATTTCCTCTTGGTCTTATTACACGTTACTCTTCTTGACATGGACTTATTTACTTCACAAAATAATCTCCATCGTTTAAACTCAATGACCAAAGTTTCTACCATAGAGTTTAAATATGAATTCCCAAACCGGATCTGAATACAAACAATCCAAAATTACAAATATCCCTAAAATAAAACATGAGATCGGTTATACTCCATCTCAACCATGACATAAGAGGGTCCACATCCTTATCTCTTATCAGGTATCTCGTCAACTATTAGATATTTAATGTTGTGCCGATTAAACAAATTAGTTCATCCGGCCGTAAGTAGTAACAAGAACACCTCCCTTCCTGGTGTTTCCTCCCAAGTACACGAGCGAGAGTGAGCTTCATACACCAATTTTATCTCGTTATAAAATATGTAAAAAAGAAACATGTATTTACAACGCACCCTTGTGTATAGATAAATGTATGTTGTATGCTTATTCATGCCTTCATTGTACAGCTGTCTATTCATTCGCCAAACACTAATGTATTCAGGAATTATACACTGTTATCCATGCATCATATCCAAATTAATTCACACATATTAACCACCACTCCACCACTGCATTCACATCAACCACTACTGTCCTCACATCAACCACTACTGTACTTACATCAACCATCACTGTACTCACATCAACCACCACTGTCCTCACATCAACCACCACTGTACTCACATCAACCACTACTGTACTCACATCAACCACCACTGTACTCATATCAACCACCACTGTCCTCACATCAACCACTACTGCACTCACATCAACCACTACTGTACTCACATCAACCACTACTGTACTCACATCAACCACCACTGTACTCACATCAACCACCACTGTACTCACACAAATCAACTCACGTACCACAGCAATGAATTCATCCACCATAAACCAATCCATGAGTCTAATATACAATACAATTATACTCAAAGTACTCCGTCAGTAGTGATTCGTGTGCTCACTGTCACCTCCTTCCCTCAGGTCGTCGTAACGCTGCTGGTGGTGAGCGCGGCGGTGATATATGCTGACGTGTACGAGCCAGTCTATAAGCCGGTAAGACAGTGTGTGTGTGTTGTGTGGGTACATGGATGGATGGATGTGTGTGGGTAGGTGGATGGAGGGCTGAATGGATGTGTTATGTGGGTAGATGGATGGGTGTGTGTGTGGGTAGGTGGATGTATGGATGGATTAATGTATGTTATGTGGGTAGGTAGATGAATGGATGAATGAATATAGATAAGATATAGTTTTTTTTTGGAGATTTGGATAAAACTCAGATAGGTGGGCATATAGATATAAATAAAACGAAAAAAAATTGATAAAAAAAGGTTCACAATCATAACAATCAGGTTTTATCAGTACAGCATAGTTAAAAAATGCAATTGTCTTGCACCAAAAAATAAATAAATATGTAATTACGAGAACGCAATCTTGCGTGTCTTAACATTCTACTAAAAGTATCGGTGTATCTAAAAATATTTAATATCAAACAATATATAAATTTTAAAATCATATTAACTCAGACTTCAACGATACAACCTTACCTAACTGTAGTACCCAGATCCTTAACATTTTAGAAGCTAATTTCAAAAGTGAATTACACAGGTTACCCAACGTCAGTCAATTGTGAGAAAGAAACATTGGTTCTCTCTGGATTTATTTGTATATCAAAAGCAATTACGTAAGAATGACATTAATTCAGTAGTAATATGACTCAGTAGCAAGAATGAAAGTTTATTTTTACGTTTAATCTTTATCAAGTAATTTATTATTTAACTCTTCATACACGCACTGTTGACTACATTGCCCAAGATCGTGAATTCTCACTTTCGTCAACTATCACAATGTCAGGTACAAAACAGATTTTTTATGGTATACAAGTACAGATCTGAAAGGAGTTGAGCTAATATTGTTAAAAAAACGAACATATTGAGATTTATTTTTAAACAATGACAATACAAAACAATTAAACTTTCGGAACTGCTGCCTAAACTCTCGAAATCTTGACTATACGTTAATACCACTGACAGGAGCCGCTGCCCTACTACTTCAACTACAACGTGTACGACGACTACAAGGGCGCCAACTACGGCCAGCAGGAGAAGTCCGACGGTAAAGCTGTGTACGGCTCCTACACCGTTGACCTCCCCGACGGTCGCAAACAAAGGGTACGACCCACCTCCTCACACTGTTTACACTTGATAAAATACATCTTGTTGAGTTCCACATCACAGTAGAATTTGTATTATGTTAAATCTTTTGTTTCCCTTCAGGTGGACTACACAGCTGACCACTACAAGGGCTACGTAGCCAAGGTCAGCTACTCCGGCAAGGCTCAGCACCCTAAACACTACGGACCAGCCATCACCTTCAAGCACCAAGGCTACGGCCACGGCCACTGAGGGGGTTAAGGAACACTCCATCTGAACTAATATTATATTTTTGTACGGTAATTATGGAAAAATAAACGATAAACCTTGAATAGTGTGTGATTCATCGCCCGATGCCATTGAGTTTTCACTATATACAGTATGGCTGCTGGAGACTGCCCTATCCCTTGTTCATAGCTCATTTACCTACCTACCCCTTTATCAAACTCTCACTCGTCTATCCCTTGTTAAGCGCTATCTACATTTTCTAAAACAGATGACCAATCAGCTGGCCGAACAATAAACCAACAACAACAACACTACCAAGACCGACCGAAGTACACATGTACCTCATAAGTCGTGCACCTGGTCAACAAAGTATTACACGTTTAACACACACAGTTAAACCTCGAAAATTTATAAATATAATTTACATATTCTCTTGTAGTAATACAGGAAGTGTAAATAAAAATTATCAGATCCGGTTGTCTAATATTTATGTTGTGTTTCTTACAATAAATCTACCAATTGGATCACAATCTATAAAAGGACTATTATTACAGAAACTAAGGTCAAAATGGTGTTTCTGACCTCTGAGCAGAGTTACTGTTATAGAATAGGGCAACACGTATCAGAGATTACAAAACCACGTGGTTGAAGTGTAGGCCCAGGGATTACTACACAGGTTGTCTCAAAAAAAAAAAAAAATAAGACCTCACCTGTAGACCTGACGCATCAGCAAGTGAAGACAATGTTGGTATTGTAATAAAAGCAACCACGATACCTTCACAAAAATCTATAAGATAGCGTGTATACATTTTTCTGAGACTCCCTGATATATAGTTTAATGTGAGTCAAATGTCCCAGCCACAAGGAAACAGTGAGAGAGCCGAGTGACACAATCAAGTATATATTCTTAGGCCTACTACACGTGGTGATAGTCTTCCAGTGTTGGTTCCTCCACGTAAACGCGAGAAGATATTCATTTAAAAATAAGGATCTCTGACTCTTTTGTTTGTCGAGACTTGGTACAGTACCATTCCCCAGCAACTTCGCTTGACCTCGGGACTTATTTTCACGGGAATTTTTCCCCAAAGTACTGACACACACACACACACACACACACAGTGAACCCCTGCGTACACTAATTTTACTCTGAACCCGTCAACAGAGTCCTTGACATACAGTGAACTCCTGCCTACGCTAATCCATTGCCTAATATTGAATCCGTTAACACTGAATCTCCTGAAACAGACTAAACCCTTCCCTACACTAATCCCGTGCTTACGTCGAACCTGTTGACACTGAACCCCTGCCAACACTGAACCCCTGCCAACACTGAACCCCTGCCAACACTGATCTCCTACCTCCACTAACCCCCGACCAATACTAAACCCCCTGATAAAACCCCCTTAAACCACCGCACCACCTAACCTCCGTTACACATTATCAAGTTACCAACACAGTCTGTATCACATGTCGAAAAAAAATAACTTTTGTGAATCACTGTATTTCGTCCGCCCTTCAACAATTGAGGAGCTGTCTCAAAAACAACACTTTTACGCAATTCCGTTATAAACTCCCCGACTTTCTTTTCACAACAATGTGAGTCTAAAAGCTGGGGTGGAACAGAACCTTGTTGAAATACAATATTGCGATGATGATTTCGTTGTATGGAATTAAGAATCAGCGTGCATTCAATATTTTCTATACAGCTGTTTTAAAAATTCTTAAAACAATGACAATAAAAAAAAAAACTCCCGCGGTCCAACAATACGTAAAAATAACTTTTGATAATTTCCTATTTCGCGACACGGTTTTTTCTCCAAATATTTAGTGAGATTTTCACTTCATATTACGTCAACACTCGTCAATATAATATCACGATACAATACATTAAGTGTATGATGTATTCTCTGGACGAGTTTACATTGTGTTGTCATATTGTAACAGTGATGCCAGAAATAATTGACAGAATTTTACGTCGGCCTTTCGAATATGTGACACACATTGTTGTCTAGAGTGTGTTAAATGCTCACGCTCTCACAATGTATGTATATGTATTTTTTTAGCCTGATTGAGTGTACGTTCCCAAAACATTAAAAAAAATACTGTACTTAATACACAGCAAAACAACCAAAACAACAACTACAATAATAACAAAAAAACAACAATAATAACTAATAATAATAAAAACAACAATAATAACAAATAAATAAATAGATTCCATTCACATATAACAAACTCGAATGAATAACTCCCAATATCCATCATGAATTCTTAATTTTCTGGGGCATATGTATGAGAGAGAAATGTATATATGTATATTGTTTTCACACCAACTCACTTTCTGATTTCAACCACACACGAACTACGCCAAGGTCACCACCACCACACTGTGTAAACGAAGATCCTAAGCTCTCATTTTGGGCCGTTGTCATGCGTATTCGTGCGTGTGTTTGTAGTTTTAGGTATAAGTGCACTCACCTGATTCTAATTATTCAACTTAGCAAAAAATTAACAAGCAAGACGTCCATTATAAACCATGAAGGGGGATTTTAGGGAAGTTTAAGGGGTTACGTATTATGCTACTTGATTATGGGGTTAAATAATGGGTTTGTGACTTAAGGTAAGGACCAATGGGTTGGATAAGGGGGTTTCGTACTTCTAATAAGGACATGGTAGTTGGATATGTCTTAACGAGAACCTTATGTACGGATGGACACACACATACGTACACAAAATCTGAACAATATAACAAAAAAAATTGGAGAAGGGTAACCATTTCTTTTTAATATTCGACCCATTTGATATTTTGTTACCGATTTTGAGGATTTGGGAAAATTAAACTACTCATTAGATGCTTCTGTATATTAAAAATCATAAGAGGAAACTTTGCAAATTAAAATAATACAAGAAGAAAAATTCCTCCCTGAAACTGTCACAACGTTGGCTGATTTATTTCGTCTTTAATGTTACGTGTTTGTATTGTGCATAAAATAGTTTTGGTCAATGTCAACGTGACCATGTGAAGGAGAGTTGGGGGGGGGGGAGGGGCGTCAGGGTCAGCCATGATCGTCAACATCAGCGAGTATATAAGCTGGACGACTCGCCACCACCGTCACTCACTCCACCTGCTCCTCCAGCCTGACATCCCTACACCCTCACACAACCATGTTATACAAGGTTAGTCTCACTCATTGGCTTAACTATTCAAAATATTATGAGCTTTAAAATTAAGTTAACTAATTCCCTGTGTTAGCTCATTATTACCCCTGGACTCATTAAGAACCTTCTCCCTCAGGTGTGCTTGGTCCTGGTGGTGGTGGGCGTCGCCCTGGCGGAACCAGACGGCTACGGACCAGTCTACAAATCGGTACGTCGTGTGTGTGTGTGTTAAGGATATCTCACGCTAATAAATTCCAAATACTGTACAACTCTTGACGAATCTAACACCACTGAGCACACCGCAGGAGCCTGTTAATAAAAGGTGCTGAAATTTAGGTGGATGTTGCCATAACCGAAGGAGCATTAAGTGTACATGTTTGTGTGGCATTTTTTTTCCATGTTCCTTCAATAGATCTTAACCTGGTAAAATGTTATCCCTGACAGGAGCCGCTCCCTTACTACTACGACTACAATGTGTATGACGGCTACAAGGGCACCAACTTCGGCCAGCAGGAGAAGTCTGATGGTAAAGCTGTGTACGGCTCCTACACCGTCGACCTTCCCGACGGTCGCAAACAAAGGGTACGACCCACCTCCTCACACTATTAACAAAATCAATCTCTTAAGTCACGAAAATCTTTATTATTGCAACATTTTAACGTAGAACTTTACAACAACGTTTCTCCTACCCCAGGTGGACTACACAGCTGACCACTACAAGGGCTACGTGGCCAAGGTCAGCTACTACGGCAAGGCTCAGCACCCTAAATACTACGGCCCAGCTGTCACCTTCTTCAACCAATACGGCAACGGCTACCACTGAGGACGAGACCAACCTATCCAGATGACCTGATATATTTTTGTATGGTAAATGTGGAACGAATAAACGATTTTTCATAAAGTGACGTGTAACTCCTACCAAACTGTTAATGTTAAGTAAGATCTCGTCCACGTACTGGCACAGATCATGGACATAGTGCTTGCCAAGTATGCTGAGGCGGGAGAAATTTTTAACAAACAAACTAGCATCACATAAAAATGTAAGCATAAGGAAGTCATATAAGCAAATGTGGTGAACGCTGTTGTCATCTTCAGGTAAGAAAGACCACCACACACCTGTAAACTTGTGTACATAACAGGGATTTAGAATGAACACATATCTTAAATACCAATATAATCACAAATATATCGACTCACAGACGTCAAGATTTTTACAAATTTACGAAACTTATTCAGAAAAACAGTAAAGGTACACACTACATAGTACTGGTATAGTGCATCAAACTTGTTCAAAGTTGCAGGTCAATAACTGACTTAATAGTTAACACAATAATACACAATTTAAGTACTGGTGCACAGGTCAAGCACTGATGTAACAACACGGAAAAAATATCACACACAACCGCTGCTCCGTCGGCTACGCGAGCATCCACCAAAAAACACGCAAGCACCTTTCCTCCTCCCAGGCCCCGACGGTGTCACGTGTCGGTCGGTGTTCCACAATGTGCTAACAATGAACCGCCGCACAATGCACCGTGACCTTTCCTACTCCAGTTTGCTTGAAGGAGATAATGTGCTTGCCTATCAATAAGCTTAGTATCAAAACTCATGCGTCGGCTCATTAACATGATATTAACCTTTTTAACTCTTGTAACTGGCCATTACGAAGCGATAAATTTAACTCTTTGTTTCTGAACATAAAAAAAAAAATTGCCTCGTCATTACAGAAAAAAAGTATCTCTAGCCATAGATTTCATTCTTCCCTATAAAACAAAAACTTAAGTTGAAACTCTAACTTCTGGTGACTAACGTAAAGTACTGTAGCTTTATTGCTGTCGTCAAGTGATTAAAATAACATAAAATAATAATACTAATACTAATACTAATAATACTAATACTAATACTAATACTAATACTAATAATAATAATCATAATAATAATAATAATAATAATTAACGGTTTCTTGAAAGAGCATAGCAGCCAGAAGGCTGAAAATATACAGTTACATAATTGGGCAATGGGTTTACAAATAATATACAAGTAACATAAGTGATACAAATAAGATATACAATAACTAGGTGGGGAAAAGCTCAAACTACAGGGCATTTCAACATAGTGACAATGCAAAAAGTAGGATTTACTGGGAATGAATACACTGGTTTATTACAAGTTATTGATTATTTTTACAATGGTTGGGACTGGGCTGTTCTTATAGCGATCAGTTCGTGCACGTATGGGCTGGATGCGGTTGTGGTGTCGAACAGCAATTACGTTTTCTATAAATAAACTCTACAAATATCCTTTTCACTGTACTTAATTGGTATTTGGAACGATAGGTCGACAGTCACTTCAAGTCCTCAATACCAATATTAATTGTTTTGTTTACTGATTCAACACATTGCTTTATTACGTTCGGGTGAAACAACCATATAAACACACCTTGATGAGGTAACAATTAACAAGGTCATTAGTTTTCTTATCAGTAAACGGATAATATTCTAAATGCTAAGAATTTAACAAGACTTGACAAAAATGACAAATAAATTTTTCCTGTAGACAAGGAAAATTTTAAAAACATGTAATTATATTTTAAATTTTCATACCCTCTTAAAAATTTAAGTCATAAGAATATCTGATAATTATACCTACAGCTCACGCATGTTCTGTCCCGTGTGAGGGGGTTATTAATTAAGGATGTCTGATATCCCCTCACGTAAATATTCCTAAGCTCCTTACAGACAGTCTCCCAGGATCTCGTCTGAGCTTCTTACACCTCAATAACCCTTCTGAAGGTCAGGTGGGAGTATAACAGCTTTTACGTCTACAGTCTTACGTCTTGTCCAAAGGAGGTGGTCCCTCAGGTGTGTAATGCTGTGTGGGTGTAGTCAAAGTCTGGTGGGTAGACTACTTTAACGTTGGGGAGACAACTTACCTCTGTTCTTACGTCTTATTATGGGTTTCGTCACACACACACACACACACACACAGTATTTAATATATCTAATATACTATCTAATGTACTATCTGTCTGCCTGTTCTGGGCAGCCGAAACAGCACAATCGTTTTTCATCAAACTTGGTGGAAAAATCGCAAAAAAATCGTAGTGGAACAAACCTGGTCCCATGTCGATGGTTTCTTTAGGAAGGCATTAATTAACCATTTTATTTACGATGGAAAACGATGCAAGTCTACGGACTTGGCGCACCCTAATTAACCATACAAGTCTACGTACTTGGCGCACCCTCATTCGCTGTATGCTAGCCAAGCACGAGCGTTCAAACTTTCACCGGGCACGAAGGGCCCGCGATCACTTGTAGTAATCCTAATGCTCCATCGGCGTACTTACAAATAGCCGTGTGTGTTGTGACGACCTATGGTGTAAAGGTCAGCATGCTCTTCTCGCAAGCGAGCAGACCCAGGTTCGATCCCCGGGCAGGGTGAAACTATGGGCAAGTTTCTTTACGTCATTTGACTCTGTCTACCCAGCAGTAATTGGGAACCTGGATGTTAATCGTTTTGCAGATCGTATTCCGGGGTAATGGTTAGCCAATGCAGTTGGCGAGCTGTCCGGTCTTCTCTGCCTATTCCTTGACACTGGGTCCTGCAGCTCGTTAACTTAGGGTGTGGTTGTTGTGTTGGCGACAGCTTCTACACCTTAAACAAATTTATGCCTAGGTGGCCTTTGGGCCGGCCATCCTGTTACACGAGGGGCAACCATTATGTGTGTGTGTGTGTGTGTGTGTGTGTGTGTGTGTGTGTGTGTGTGTGTGTGTGTGTTAGTAAATCACATTTTTCGTTTGATGAGAAATTAATGTTTGTCATAGAGCGGATAAAGGAGGTGTCGTTTCATTTAACATAGACTCTGGGTACTCTCTCTAAGAAGTGCATTGTGGTCTCTGGATTTTCCGGGGATTGTTGTCAAGATATTGGCATTATTTTCTTCCTTTCTTTGCATTCTATTTCATTTTTTGTGGGTGGGGGGCGGGGGGAGGGAATGTGTGATGGGGAACGGAGTGGTAAGAGGTGGGGGGGGGGCGTCAAGGTCAGCCATGATCGTCAACATCAACGAGTATATAAGCTGGACGACTCGCCACCACCGTCACTCATTCCACCTGCTCCTCCAGCCTGACATCCCTACACCCTCACACAACCATGTTATACAAGGTTAGTGTCACTTGTCGGAAAGGTCTACAACTAATCAACTGGATACGTTCATGTTGTTATTCGTCCGTCCGTCTGTCTGGTTGTAATGATTTTAGTAAAGCAAAGAAAATTTGGTTGAGGAAATTTCACTTAAACTTCATAAAAAAAAGTTTTATTAACATCGAAGAACTCTTAGCGTTGTTGATCTAGAAAAATAACAAGACAATGGTGTTCGGTGTGTGATGAAGTGTTCGGTAGCGACTTAAGTTTGGTTATTAATGAAGTCTAGAATCACAGTGACCACAACGTGATAATGATGGTCGTTCCTCTTGTTTGAGAACGGACTGCCCTTAGGCCACCAGAGAGTGAATTTGTTTAATGTCTATAAGTTGTCGCCAACACATCAACCACCCAGTGTACTGACCAGATGAATGTCCCGATGTTATGGTAAATCAGCCGACGTACTAGCCGCCAATGGAATAACACAGGGTCTAATTTAATGCTGCACAGACTGACGCTCTTGGCGCGAAGAAACTTGTCCATGGAATGGAACCCCGGACCACTTGCTTACGTCTCGGACATTATTACTGAAATCTCCATCACCATCCATAGTTACTCTCATTTACGAATACAATACTTCACGAATACACAAGTTGGTGATTACACCGAAAGTTAAGGACCCTGACTCATGAACCTTTTCCCTCAGGTGTGCTTGGTCCTGGTGGTGGCGGGCGTCGCCCTGGCTGAACCAGACGGCTACGGACCAGTCTACCAGTCGGTACGTTGTGTGTGTGTGTGTGTGTGTGTGTGTGTGTGTGTGTGTGTGTGTGTGTGTAATAATATTCCAAGTTATTGAATAGATTTTCAATGAAGTTACTTTCCTGTGTTCAGAAGCTACTACTCTCTCCTCGCAGGAGCCTCTCCCTTACTACTACGACTACAACGTATACGACGGCTACAAGGGAACGAATTTCGGTCAGCATGAGAAGTCCGACGGTAAAGCTGTGTACGGCTCCTACACCGTCGACCTCCCCGACGGTCGCAAACAAACGGTACGACCCACCTCCTCACACTGTTTACACTTGAAGACATGAACTGTCAAATATATCCAAACCAAAAACTAAATCTGTATCTTACTATACTATCGTTTCTCTCAGGTGGACTACACAGCTGACCACTACAAGGGCTACGTGGCCAAGGTCAGCTACTACGGCAAGGCTCAGCACCCTAAACAATACGGCCCAGCCATCACCTTCTTCAACCAATACGGCAACGGCTACCACTGACGTCCAGACCAACATATCCAGAAGACCTAATATTATATTTTTGTATGGTAAATGTGGAGCAAATAAACGATAACTTCCAAATACAAGTTATATTTCTGAGTGTCAGTGTTAAAGTCCTATAATGCATACGACTCTACAAGCCGTGTTCCTGTACACAGATGATAAACAACTACTAAAACGATCAGACACTCAAATGTATTCCTGTAACCAAATCCTCACCAGCTTGACGTGAAAAGGAAAGTGGCTAATAAAATTCCAGACAACAGTGGGAGATACAGTATGTGTATCCTACTTCAACTAGTGTGTGATATGTGGCGCCAGACCCACTTGACATGTGCTCTGGGATGACTCGTAATTTCCCTAGCGTAGTAGACAAACCCAATGTGAAAATAAGTTGCAATAGCAGATGATAAGTATGTGTACCTCTTCCATTCCATCACTCAGTAAAATAAATTATTTCTAACAGAACTATAATGTACTGGTTATTCAAGAAACAAGAAGACATCAAGAAACAAGAGGACATCATATTCCATAAAACAATGAGAATAAATTTACGTAAACTCAAGCGTCTCTCCATCTAGTGCCGAGATCGAACCCCATATATATATAATAATATAAACGGTAATAACCAGTAATAAAAAATATAACATCAAACTGTTTGATCATTGTGTTAGTCACTGTTCTCTGTGTCTGGTCACTCAATAGAAAACTCCCGTTCTTTTACACGTCAATTCTTTACATTCTTCCTCAGTCTTGATCGTTTTCCAGCACCACCAAAAACTTCCCGGACTTTCATTTCACCTCAACTGGAGTAATCGTTGACTGTACGGTGGAGACAACCTGGCTGTGGCTTTAACGAAGATATTATTATGTAGTTACAGGTATGCAAACGTAGGTAACATACTAAAATATGAAATTAAATCTCCTGTATTCCCATAGGTTTTATTTTCATCTCTGGAAATCTACGAGCCTAATGTACCTTGGACGACGTAGTTACTGAAACTCTCAAGAACGACTGACGAAAGTATATAAAATATTATGAAGTCGAAAATCATTCATGGTTTCTGTAAAGCTGAAATAACATTAGACCAAAATAGAAATAACTATTAACGTTAATCCGTATAAACAACTATACCAAACAAAATAAATTAAATCAAACATCATAATCTTAGCTAATGACTTACAGATGTTAAATTACGCAAACTGTTTATATTATGTTAAACACCACTCTCTTCTTTATCCATATGCAACTTACTGATTTACAAGAAGCATAGGCAATATCTTAAGGCTCAGTTTAACATATAATATGACCTAGAAATCAAAGGATTACCGACGTCCCCAACACACCTGGCCACGCACCCACTGGAGGACTGTGACCCTGGTGACCTTCAAGAGGTGGCATGCATAAGCTACCGTACAGAACTCCCCCATGCCCACTCTATGTATATGACCTTTAGAGAAACTAATGTGACCTTTAGAGTAACTCCGTAGGTTGTTTCTGGGCAGCTTCGACAAGGTAATAACTATCAGCGTGACGGACAGATGGAAGGACGGACAACCAAGATCTCATGAGCGATAAAAGTGAGGACTCATGCACAAAATAATGTCTATAATCGAAATTTTTAGCTTGGTTTATTTTAGTCATATGTTACTTTTGTCATCTTGGGAAGACATAAATCTAGACACAGTCCTTTTCTTCTATGGTGTTACTGGATGGGTGAGGTGTTACTTTAGTCCCCTGCTGACCTGCATTCATTATGTCTCGTTTCAGTCTTGTGTTCAAATTGATTTTGCATTTAGTGGAAATTTAATCAAGTTCGTTATTATTGACACACCTTTGTTCCATCAACGTCTGTAATTATGTTCGTCATAGTGCCAGATAATGAGTTAAATGTCAGTATGTCGGTAAACTGGAGGAGGAGGTAAGTTAGCGTCAGTGATCTTAAACCTATTTCTTTTCCAGTTACTGATTACAAAAGCCTCAAGAGTCTAATGTAAGGGGGCTTTTGTTTCAGTTGTGTCACCTTGGCTCACTTCTAAAAGTTACCAGTCAAGGAGGAGTGCATCAAGGTGACACCATTTCTCCCAAGCTTTTTTTACACAGTTCGAAAAGTTGAAGTTACTTTAGTCTAATAATGTTTAAATATCAGTGGTGTCTAAAGCAATGTCCTTATTTTTTTTATGTATGTTAAACGCATCAAGCCAGATATAACCATACACAATACCACAAAGACGAACTAGGAACTTTAATTGATTAAAAGAAAGTTGAGAGCATTTATTTTCAACAGGTATACAAATCCTCAGTCACTATAACGAAATACACCAAATTAAATACCGAATTGAATTTTGCCGCTGAGGGTTGGCGACTACGACCCTCCACTCCAACTGTATTCGAAGTGTCTTTACTAATCCCCCCTGGTATTGTATCTCTCCGGGTCTCGGCTTTTATTGTAATTTCACTCATCCATCTCAGTCTTAGAGAAGAGTCAGAAGATACTAGTATGTATACTTAACACTCATTCATACACTTGGATCAACAAATGTCTTGGTCTGAAGAGGGAATTACTTAACCAATCCTCACTTAATAATTTATGGAAGTGAATCATGACGCCTGCAACCCAAAATAGCAGGGAAATTCTACAACAATACTGAATAAAATCGGGGAAAAATATGTATGTTAGAGGCTGGAGCTGAACAAATTAACTTCTGTGATAAATATCGATATAAAAAAAAAACATTACATCCATCCATCTATCTATCTTTCGCTTTATCTGTTAGTTATTTCATGAGGCATTTAAATGAGTAAAGTGGCAAAGGACAGAGACCTTAAGAACACCACATCAACACTGGACCGCTGAGATCTTTCTGTTGCTCCTAAGAAACAGAGACTTACCAAGACGGCCAGGCTGAGCGAACACTGTACACAAGGTCAGGAAATTGAAGCGTGTTATTGGGGGAGGAAGAGTGAGGATAAAAGATTACTCGGGAGGTCTTTAACTAGCAGTGGGGAAACTGATTCTTGGTCTACTTTGTTTATGACTGATCAAAACATGTTAACGGTACACTGATGTAAAATTTGGTTAAAGTCTTACTAATGTGGGGAAATATTTTTTTTTATATTAGTGGGATGCTATTTAAGCTATCTTATACAAATAAACGAAATACTTACTATTATTACTATTATCATGTTCATATACCTGTCATAATAAATCACCTTTTACTTAATAATTTGTTTCTATATAAAGTCATCTATTATAAAACTGCATTTTTTCGGGTGGGTGGGTGTGAGGGGGCGGGTGTGAGGGGGCGGGTGTGAGGGGGTGGGGGTTATGAGGTGGATGTGAGGGAGAGTTTGGTGTCAGGGGCGTCAGGGTCAGCCATGATCGTCAACATCAGCGAGTATATAAGCTGGACGACTCGCCACCACCGTCACTCACTCCACCTGCTCCTCCAGCCTGACATCCCTACACCCTCACACAACCATGTTATACAAGGTTAGTCTCACTCATCTTATAAACACACAACCGACAAGAAAGCTTTGATACCTCACCAGTCATCTACACTTTTCTCTTATAAAAAATCTGGCTGGAATCAGAAAAAATATAATAATTTCTTTAAAGTCTTAAATATCTTAGAAACTGGTGTAAAAATATACAAGTGGCCAAGAAATTGTGTTAGTGGATAGTGTCAAGTGGTTAACCCGATCCAGCCAGGAGTGTAGTGAGGAGTCCATTGGGAGGGGACATCTTTCATCAAATACTCAATATAATAATAAAGACGACTACAATTACGTGTTAAATAAATCCTACAGGTAACACAAGCTTTTCACGATGTTTTCCTGCCTAAAAATCTAAATTCCTTTAACTAAGATAAAAAAATAAACTACTGGTATGAACTACTAAGTCGACGTGTTTTATAATAAATTGCCAAAAAACTATTCCTTTAAAAGGCTGAAAAGTTTTCATTGGTGTTAAGGCATCGTTTTTTAACTCGACTAATTTTTTGGGCCGTACGCTGAAAAACACTCTTAGTATTTTGGGATGATTAACTTAGGTAAAAACGTATTATACTTCCAGGCAAGGAGAAGTACCCAAAACTCCTAGTCGGTAAAAAACATGCAAATTCCTTCCAATAATTCACCAATGCCGCACCACACGGCCTCATTAACACTTTCAGACTCGCTAATGAACCTTCTCCCTCAGGTGTGCTTGGTCCTGGTGCTGCTGGGCGTTGCTCTGGCTGAACCCGACGGCTACGGACCAGTCTATAAGTCGGTACGGACGTTTTATTTGTATGTGAACGTTGAAAAAAGTGTACATTAATGTACATTGTTTTTTCAGTACCAGTCAGTGTGAATGTGTGTAACGTGTTTTTGTGCATGTCTGTGTGTGAGCTGAACAATTCTAAAAAAAGGATGCATACAGTTGTATACCTCTGCTTCAATATTGATGTATTTACCCTCGTAGGAACCTCTGCCTTACTACTACGACTACAATGTATACGACGGCTACAAGGGAACGAACTTCGGTCAGCATGAGAAATCCGACGGGAAAGCTGTGTACGGATCCTACACCGTGGACCTCCCCGACGGTCGCAAACAAACGGTACGGACCCACCTCCTCACACTGTTTACACTCGCAACCTTTTGTTTGTCACGAAAATCTATTTATTATTACAACATTTTAGCGTTGAATTTAAAAACTACGTCTCTCCTACCCCAGGTGGACTACACAGCTGACCACTACAAGGGCTACGTGGCCAAGGTCAGCTACCACGGCAAGGCTCAGCACCCTAAACACTACGGCCCAGCCATCACCTTCTTCAACCACTACGGCAACGGCTACCACTGAGGACGAGACCAACCTATACAGATGACCTGATATATTTTTGTATGGTAAATGTGGAACGAATAAACGATAACTGTGTAGTTGAGTGTTACCTCCACCCAGTGTCAAGTACACGTAGCTGGACGCCCCACATCCACACAATAGTGTTTATGTTGAGGATCCCATGATGAACGGATGTAAACACACCATGAAAAGTGTGTCAATTACACTGAGGGTAATTTATAAACACATTTTCGAATCTCATGACTAGGAATCACCGCCATTTTCCTGAATAACTTTTGTTCAGGAAGTATCAAAACTACTAGTGCCACCTTAAAAAAAATACACATATACTAGACAGACAAACCGACAGATAAAAATTTTCGTAAAAAAATACCAAATAATGAATTATCACTAATCAATGTTACTTTCATCACCCCTTGTTACGATCATTAATCACTGTTATGTTCAAAAAGTAACACCCACCAAGGAACAGTACAGTGTGCATGTGTTAGCGCCGGTAACTGCCGAGAAATTATTCGAGAAATGTGTTGAGGGTCTCCGAGGCGAGGCTTCTTGTTTGATTGGGTTGGTGTTGTTGCGGCTATAACAACAACAACAATAATGACAGTAATACTAGTAACAATACTAACAACAACAACCTATTTTTATGAATATATTAGTACCATGAGTACTAATACTACTACTACTACTACTACTACTACTAATAATAATAATAAACATGCATTAGACTAAGACACGGGTGGGGTACTGTACTACACAACCTCTCTTTAATACGGGGAAGTTTAAACCCAGTTGTTTGAAACCCATTAAACAACATTAGGTACTTGTAAAAGATGTTACTCAAAAATGCGTCAGTTCTTTTTCAGAGTGAGAAACAGAGGCAGGTCATAACACATTATACACATCCCAGAGCACAATTTAACAGATGTTTCGTCACAATTACCAACACAGAAAAATTTTTGCTAATTAAACTAGATTGCTCTTTATGTTCATAAAAAATGGTATCATAAATAAATATTTAATTAGGGACGGTTTTATTAAAATCCTGGCCATGGGCAAATCTCATTAGCCATCAGACATTACAATGAAGCCTTTGAACTAAACGAGCTTATTCGTAAAAGTAATATTTCTGTTTAGGTCAAACAGAAGGTCAGGGCAGATGCTTGCAGTAGCCGGGTCACATAACGGCGCAGGTCACAGTGTCTTTGACGTCAGTGACCCTCGTGGCCTGGACAGTAAAAGACCAGACAAACACTTTACAGGTTTTAGGTCTTCCATTGTCAACATGTCCTGCATTAATATTACGTTACGGGTTATAAAGGAAAAAATGGACGCTTTCAATTATCAACTTATTTTTTTGTATAACCTGTATAACTTATTGACGCAGGACACTTTCAACTGTCTATCTGTAGATTTGATGAAGAGATAATAATTATAAACGGGGAAAAATAGGACACTCTGAACTGCCAATTTGTCCTGCATTAAAAATAAAGTACAATAAGAGAAAGGACACGAATACAATTTCCTGTATCAAGACGGCATTAGCAGCCCCCCCCCTCAAGTGTGTGTGTGTGTGTGTGTGTGTGTCATCCTGCGTATTCCATCAACAGAAAACATTATCAAGTCTGTTATAACACTGTGAGCCAAACTTTCACTTCTGGTGTAAACCCGCATAACTACAACGTCCGCAAGTACATAGTATTTGATTTATATTTACCAAATATACTCTCCTAAAACAAACAATTCACACATATACCAATAAACAATACAATTTATCTTAAAATATATAAATTTGTATAGATAATAAACACTCCCCTAAATTATATTATAGTAAATGAATATAATACTCTTCTAAAAAGTATAAATATATTTACTCTTACTAAAAAATAAAAAACAAATTATAAAAAAAATATATAAAATATAAATCTGAAAAAATATTACACAAATCTAAAAATTATTTCATTAACATAAAGATAATTAACCCAATAATTGATAATATTAACTCGTTGACAGTTTATATTCCCATACTATTATTATACTCCAAAATCTACTGAACATACGAGCTCATTCAGGTAGAAGCAGGTGATTAGGTTATTGTGTGGAAATGTTCGGGTTAAATTAACTTTTATATACATTTATATTCATATTTGGATAAGGTACCAATTACAGTATACCGTCATTACAAGGGAATTACTGTACCTGTACTGTAATATTACCCGAGTTGTAATTATTTGGGAATTCCTGTGACTATTGTTATACCCAAACTTGTAATCATCTATTTCCAAATAAAGTTCTTGATTGGTATAATTACGTTACCGCTAGCGTTACCCTTCACCAGGTAATAGTGCTCAAGTAAAATATTGCGACTGTCTCCTGAGCAATAATAACTCTCGTTTGCAATAACAATAGATGCGGAAAGTTCAAACAAAATCTCCTTAACAATTAAACTTTTGCATTCATGGAAAAAACATTTTTAAAACTGCGACGGAATGAGAATTTCTGGTCATGAATTGAAAGTTTTCTATATCAATAGTAACGCCTCGGACACTTGTGTCAAATAACACGTGTTAATAATTTGTACACGTCTCAGCTGTTTGTTCAGTTTATGAGAGCATCACAGGACGAGTATATACAGCATAAAATAAGAAATATTTACCTACCGACAGTCAATGAATGTAGGTAAAAATAATATGTCTTAACTACAACTGTGTACTATGGAAGTATAACTGTACCAATTAAATACGTATGTGTACCAACGTAGTGAACATGTGTGCTGTACCAATGAATTATATTTGTACAACAATGAACTGCAACTGTGCACCAGAAAAATTGTAAAATGCCAAAATAACTTTTTTAATCAATCGATGTACAATTTTGTAAAATATCCCATCAATTTATTTAACTTCATCACCCAGAAAGGAACTGTACAACCCTGAAAATGCATGGTATGTGTTTAACTGTTTATAGCATCAGACTCGCTGAGAATGCATATAAAAACGCATTTAAAAAAAAAAATAATAATCTCAAAACTGTCATTCATAAATTAATCTTTGTACACGTGTGTGTGTGCCCTGAGTTTTGGGTCTGGATGAGGGAGGTGGGGGGGGAGGTGTCAGTCAACAGGTCAGGCAGTGTCAGGCAGTACGACGACTCACTGGTATATAAGTCATAAACTTCAGCCACCAACTCACTCACTCCTTCGCTCGACTGGTGTCAATATCTTAAACGCACCAAAATGTTTACTCAGGTCTGACCACCAAAAACAGTATATGATTTTTTCTGAATATCTTTGACAGTAAACGCCAAATGTCTCCAAAAATTTAATTTCAATTAACACCACAAATTTTAACTCTCAAAATAACAGTTTGCACAAATGACGGATTACATTCTTATCGCTTATATATTCTGTAGGTTTCAGATAATTTGATTGATGCTGAAGTATTTCATCGCTTCTCTCCGAAAGCTAAGTCGTTCAACGTGATCTCACATCTGTGTGGTTCAGTATAAGATCCGCTATCGAGAAGTATTTGGTTAAATGGATCCCAACCAAATTTAATATAATCATTACCATTGTGGTTAATTAGATCTGGGGGTTCCATTAGGCCCGAACCTTCATCCTAATGGTTAGCCAAGTTGGTTGAATTGGGGTCCAGACAGACTTGGCAAGTGGCTTATCGTAACACGTTCATCCGCCCTCAGATGCTGGTGGTTGTGATGGTGGTGGTTGGTGTCACCCTCGCTAACGCTGACGTCTACGAGCCAGTCTATTATCCGGTCAGTACACATATTAAAGTAATTAGCAAGACTGAATTTTATATGATTATAGATAAAAATTTACTTGCTTATATAACACTATAAAAACTAATCCACCCAACTACATACCTTACACAACAAAGACTAAACGTTCATGTAAAACTAATGTTCATATCATTGCATATCTCAGATTGATCATTAAATCAGAGAAAAAACTTCCCATCCAAACCTTAAACTTCACAATTATTCAACAGCTGTTCTTCTATCCCCTTAGGAGCCGCTGCCCTACTACTTCAACTACAACGTGTACGACGACTACAAGGGCGCTAACTACGGCCAGCAGGAGAAGTCCGACGGTAAAGCTGTGTACGGCTCCTACACCGTCGACCTCCCCGACGGTCGCAAACAAAGGGTACGGCCAACCTCCTTAAAACACATCTTGTTGAGTAAGTTCTACATCCACCACATAATTTATTATATGCTAAATATTTTCTCTTTCCCTCAGGTGGACTACACAGCTGACCACTACAAGGGCTACGTGGCCAAGGTCAGTTACTACGGCAAGGCTCAGCACCCTAAACACTACGGCCCAGCCATCACCTTCAAACACCAAGGCTACGGCTACGGCCACTGAGAACTTCACCCCACGCACTACACCTTTATAGTTATTTTTCTACAATATCGAAAATAAATAAAAAAATGAACATATTATGATCCTCATTTTTGGAAATAACCTGCGTAAGAAAATATGAATAGTGAGCAAAATTATGTAGCTAGAATATTTACAGACTAAAGTGGTACAGTAACACAGGGTTATAACGAGGCTGACGGTGTACGAAAACTAATAATAAGGAAAGTGAATAATGGTTCTTCAAGAATGTTAATGTGTATGTACAGAATATTTAAGAACAGGTAAAGCATAGAATGGTTTTGGGTATACGGGTGTAGTAGAATGTAGTAGAACTTATAAGAAGGCACACAAAAAGTATTGAAAATTTTCAGGGTGACTGGAACACCCTTTAACTTACACAGATTTACACAGCACTGCTACACTGTTCATATAAACAAACTCAAGATATCTGAAACTGACCACAACGAAGTGTAAATTCAGAGCCTCTTATCCAGTCCAAAACCACCTACAACTTAATCCTGAAACCCCTTATCCCTCTAAACCTTTCTTAAAATAAATATAAAACCCTTTACCCAACCCCAAACAACTGCAAGGACGAGGCTCCCCTATCCAACCCTAAAAAACCCTAACATACTCGATCAATTTCCTGGAATCCATTTTTTGTCAGGCATCTCTGACCAATTCTACCTGTATTGACAAACTGTCCATCTCCCTCTCTAACAGAACGATTCCTCTCAAAGGGGCGATGATAAAGATTTGACCACAAGGGCCAAGTTCCCCGTCGCCTCAGACTTAATAGACAGAAGCTCCCTAAAACAACGAGGGGAAATAGTAGTAATGAGTGTAAATTAATGTGGTCACCGCTGGAGACTGCCTTGTCATCGTTTTCTTTAGCACTAGCAAAACCCTGTGTGTTATTGTTGTGCGAACCGTTACCATGGCAACACTTTGTCAATATTGATGCTATTTGCACCAAAAGCGTATCATGGAAGGTTGAGACATGTCACATGTTTACTTTGGGAACACACACAGAGGACCGAAACAACACCGTGTCCAGGAGTTGAGGGGCGGGTACAAAAATAACAATAAATACAATAATACCATAAAAATATTACTGTCAGTATGTATATAAATAAAATATAGCACTCTTACAGTAACAATAATAATGATAACAATAATATTAACTGTAACAATCATACCAAGATCGAGACGAATATTTCCAGAACTCTGTCATCAAATTCTCGGGTCGGCTCAGAAGCGCATCTTTTTCCGGGTTTGTGTGACAAAAAGAATCAACTCGTTGAGGTGAAAGTTAATCTCAATTATCTGAATCTGATATTTCACTGAACATAAAACCGTCTACTGTAAGTCATCTTTTACTCCAGGTGTTAAGTTATTGTACTCAAGGTGTTAAGTTATCGTACACAAGGTGTTAAGTTATCGTACTCAAGAGGCTACGTCATCTTAATCAAAGGGTTTAAGTCGTCATAATCAACGTGAGTAACGATAGGTTTGTCTGCCCATACAACATGACCCCAGATTTTATCGTTCTACCTTGATTCCCCTTTCCTTCTTTCCTGTTCTCTCCTGCCTCTCTACCTCACTCTTAAAGAACTCCTTACAAGAAATTCTCCAATATACAGCATGATAAAGTGCTCAACCTTTACGTCAGCCAACACTTACGGTTACATCCAATCATAACGATATTAATTTCAGGGGTGTTTCGGTATTGGCCAGTAATAACGTTAATAAGGTCATCCGCTTCAGGTTTTGGACTCAAGAGAAAATTTTAACTGTGCCGAAGTTTCATTTAATTTCAATACATTACAACGTCTACCGATGGCAAATTTATTCAAAATACCAAAATGTGTATTGATATCTTTAAGAAATTCAAGCGAGCGAAAACAATAAATATCACGATATATATTGGTCACAGGCTGCCTTCAACAGTTATAGATAAGATTAAAATCATCATCTGCGAGAAATACTCCATCAGTTAAGTCAGGTAAGGCAGGTACTAAACAAATGACAATATGAAATTCATATATTAAAATCTATCCAACTAATTTTCTACTTTTCAAACACTTCACAAACGCCTTCTATTAACCCAACCATTGCCCAAAGACATGCTTGTGTTGTGCCAGTTTAATGAGGTCAAATTGTATGTTCACCTGTAACAATAAGTCCGTAATTCCTCTATATTTTGAGTGATCTGCACGAGTCTGTATCTATATATATAGCTGTTGATAAAATTATATTGACAGTTTGGGCAATATCTGGCATTAAATTGAGGGTAGTGCACACAAGGGAGACTGGTTCAGTAACATATGGAAACTCAGATTTATATTTGCTTTGAGTACTTTTTCATGTTGTATCACGTTGTTCTGACACAGTTTTAAATGAAGACCAACATTCACCAAACATATATACATCGATCACATTCACGACCTACCAATAAACGGCCAGATATTACCAACTGGTGACGGAATTTTGGCCTCGTCTATATATCACACTACGCCTGGTAAGGGATACAATGTTCACATCTGTATTTATCATTCTGCAGCAAGTTGAGAGATGAAACATGATATTTTTAGGGGGTTTGTGATCGCCAATCCCTAGTATACGAACAAAACATACACATTTTGCGAACGGTAAACAAAGCTTCGCCGGATTAGTATCTGTTGCCTTTATATGGCAGAAAAATAAAATGGTGGGAGAGGAAGGGGACCTATGCTAAATCGCTTTCGAATATCGGGGAAAGGAAGGCTGTGAGGGGGAGGGTTTTATGTCAGTCAGCAAGTCATGCAGCACCAGGGCTAACTGGTATATAAGCCATGAACTTCACGCACTCGCACATTCATTCCGACGCTCGACTCCTGTCAACAATAATTGATATACACTGCAATGCTCAGTCAGGTCTGACAACTATTAGTTATTTCTATCGATGTAGTTTGTGGAAACATTAAAACAGATCAAGTACAAAAGTTAAAAGTTTCCTGTCCCATCACTTACGGACTCTCAAAATATTTGTTTACTCATAAAAATTTAAATCTATATATTCTGAACACTAAATATCAAATAACATATATATATATATATATTGTAGTAAAAGTAATCCAGCTCAGATGGTTTCAACTGTCTTGCCATTTCCTTGTATTTCTGTACAAGATTTATTATCTCACATTCGCCCCGCAGGTGTTGGTGGTCCTGGTGGTGGTGGGCGTGACCCTGGCTGACCCTGATGTTTATGAACCAGTCTACAAACCGGTCAGTCTAAACATACAATCATTTCCATATCAGACATGTACAGTATGACTATCGTACCGACTTAGTGCATCGCTTGTAATAATTTTCGGAACTAATGGTTGATTTATATTTAATTTCAATTATTTTCTTTTTCCAATAAAAGGAGCCGCTGCCCTACTACTTCAACTACAACGTGTATGACGACTACAAGGGCACCAACTACGGCCAGCAGGAGAAGTCCGACGGTAAAGCTGTGTACGGCTCCTACACCGTTGACCTCCCCGACGGTCGCAAACAAAGGGTACGACCCACCTCCTCGCACTGTTTACATTCGTCAAAACAAGTCCCACACCCACAGTAGAATTTGTGTTATATATTTTTATCTTCCCTTCAGGTGGACTACACAGCTGACCACTACAAGGGCTACGTGGCCAAGGTCAGCTACTACGGCAAGGCTCAGCACCCTAAATACTACGGCCCAGCCATCACCTTCAAGCACCAAGGCTACGGCCACTGAGAACTACTACACCACAGACCCACTATATACAAAATATAGGCATTTTTTCTAATATAATAATAATAAATGATAATTAAACAATAACAAAAAATCTATCACTGTTTTTAAATAATAATCCTGCACATTCACACAAATACAGGTAAACACGAATTGAATTTTTTAGTGAATTCTGAACTATTTAATGTCAAGGAAAATGACCAAAAGAGTCTACACCTCCAACAGAACATTTGCATTGAGTTTTATAAGTAAATGTTCATGCGATCAACACGTAATTAATATATAACTATTATGGAGACAAATTTCACCTGATGATTAAATCCCCTACTGCTACCTGGTGGGAGGAGGAGTAGGTCAGGGGTAGAGTTTAATCACCAGATCAAATAAGCTGGTGTGCCTGATCGTCAGATGATCCATACATTGTTTATCTAAGAGAAGTTTATTTTTTTAATTTGACTCAATAGTTTGGGTGTTAATGTTTTATATTTAGTTGTAACAAAAAAACTGCCAACGCCCTCAAGTCAGTCTATGAATCAAAATCTCTTGAATATGTTTAAAATACCTCACCTCACTCACCGTATTTCAGAACTGTTGCTTAAATTGGTATAGTGGTAAAGGCTAGATCTAATAAAACTTGTCGTTGAACACACACACACACACACACACACACACACACACACACACACACACACACACACACACACACACACACACACACACACACACACACACACACACACACACACACACACACACACACACACACACACACACACACACACACACTATGCTACTAAATCTGTTCCGGCAATGCAAAATAAATTTAATGGTGACTTACTGACACCAAAATTCACTTCAATCTTTCACCAGGTGAGTTAAAACAGGTGTAGAGCTACGACTGACGGCTGGTCATGACATTAATGATCAAATTTTAATACATCATGAATATCTACAATAATTTTATCCACTATTTATGTATGAACTTTCTGTATGAGTCCATCGGTTGTTGCTGGGCTGCTTATATAGTGTTTACTAGTGTGACAAAGACGAACATATACACATCCAAGAAATACAATGACCCGTTATCCAGCGCGTGAGTAAATAAATACAAACACAGACCCGACACAGGTGCGTGATGAGACGAAAAACTTTTAATGTTTCAACAATTACGAAAATGTTATAAATGTTAATTGGTGTTTATGCCAAAACATTTATGGCCAGATGTTTAAATTAATAACCATATAATGCAATTGTAAAATACTGTTTGACATGAAATTTTTTTTTTACTGAATATGACACGTTTGTATATGTGTCGTCCTAAATGTTTCTCGTCATAAAATAATTATAATATAGACACTCAAGAGGCTACTTCATCATGTAACCGTCCAAGACATTTAGTAAACCAATACAAGTTAGATAATGGGAGATTTGATTATACACCTAAGGAGAAGAGAAGGTTAAGTAATCAAAAATATAATAGTGATACATAATTTTGTAAAGAAACGATGATAGAATAAAAAAAAAAATCACATGACAAACTCCTTCATATGTTATTTCCCACGTGTAACATACATAATGGCCTGGGTCATATTAACTGGCACTAAAACCAACAACAATTTACCTAACTTTATCTTATTTCCGAAACTCTTACTGACTTGTTAAATATATATGATCAATTAATTTCCATCTGCCTGTTCACTTGCAAGCACAGCATGATCTTATTACTACGACAACCTACCCACTAATATATTCATGTATTCTCCGTGACCTACTCCAGGTGAATCGAATTTACAAACTCAATTCATGCCTGACTTACTGTATTATGTGTATTATGTTCACGTAAAAGACGACCCGGGCCAGATATCCTAAATGCTCCCTAATGCCGTGGTCAAGGGTCATAGGAGAGCTCTTAAGGCGGTCAATGTCTGCAAAATTAGGGAGTTGGTAAAGGACACGAGGTACAAGGACGCGAGGTACAAGGACGCGAGGTACAAGGACGCGAGGTACAAGGACACGAGGTACAAGGACACGAGGTACAAGGACACGAGGTACAAGAACACGACAGACAAGGACACGAAGACACTTATGATTCCAGGCTTTCCGGGAACGAGTCTACTTACCTCTGCTCTTATCTTTGTATGTCTAACTTATTAAATCATCCAACTGACTGATTATGACCTTAAACCAGCCATCTCTAACAGCCCCAGCTACTACCTGCCACTGTCCCTCCTCATCAGCCTAGGTAATTCCCCGTACCTACTACTTCCTCTCCGAACTAACCCCAGACACTTCCTACCCTTCCCCTCTTCACCAGTTTCCCCCACTCTCATCAGCCATTTCCCCTCCTAACCAGTTCCCCCCCCCATCCCACTAGCCACTTCCCCTCCTCACTACTTCCCCCCTCCTCACCCGGAAAACCACAGCCGGCCAACAAAACATGAAACATTTACAAATATATAAAAACATGTTAGTTGTCTTGTATAAACAATAAGATTTTTTGAACAGTGCTTAACGACCCTGGCAGCTGCATTATATAAATATTTTATCACAAAAACAACAGTGAATTATGCGTATCTAGCCCGGCGTCAGCGAGGCTTAAAGAACACGGAGCACAAATTCCACGAGTATTGTTTTCCTTAAGAGTAAAATTTATTGTTTTACGACATGTACAATAGCGCTTTTCTACACGGCTGCAGTTTATAATGACAGCGTGTATATATATATATATATATATATATATATATATATATATATATATATATATATATATATATATATATATATATATATATATATCAACAAGGTTACTACACACACACGAGCTCATTTCTATCCACCGCCTTCAATAATCAAGAAAGATAACTAATGAGGACCGATCTCACCTTAAAAATTAGGATTAGACTCCAGTCATCATTACCTGGCTAAATGACTGATTGCGTGACTAATGATGACTAATAGTGAAAAATATATATATATAATATAGAATTTAACCGAAATATACCTGTAGTCTATGCACTTTGTGTACAGGCACTGTCTATGTATACTGTATACCTGCATCGTCTATATACACATTGAACCAAGGTGATCTTATATGGTTATTTCAACAAATATCAACCTGCCTTTCTATTTCAATGAATCATTCTATCTACCTATAACAACACTATCTATCTATCTAAAGTGTAGAAACCAACACTTCGAAACTGTGCTTCAATAGTCCGTCTGCTTGAGCATCTAAACACCTTTAAACAACTGGATTTCAGATAATAAACATGTTATGATATAAATACAGATAGACATTCCACCAGTAACACTGTAGTACTCAGATGAACAAGGTAAAAAGGCTTAGGTAATTTGCACCTGGTGACGGGAGTCGTAAAGTTGGTACCAGGTGTGGAGTCGGACGGTCTGGTAATACTGAAGAATGAATTTAATCTGTGAAATGATGTAATGTGACACGTGAGCAGAGGGAGACATTCACGCCGACGACCTGTGTGTATATAAAGAGGTGGTTGGTGGGGGAGGTAGACACTCACACTGCTCACCACATCATCATCACAACTCCCAAAAATGTTTTACAAAGTTAGTATAACAAACTGGTTGGGAATATATAAGTTTTAAGTGGTATTTAGAAGACGATGCCATGGTGAAAATACAGTGATAACGTGTTTGTAACTTACATTTACAAGAGGCACTTGTGTACCAAAGCATATACAGTGTGCCAACATAGAGAAACTTAAATGTTGGAGTTGTATTTACCGCATCATTAAGAAAGGCAATTGTGTTTAAAACCTGAACGTCCATAAAACTAATACACTTTCACCGCCCCCCCCCTCTCCCCTAAAAAAAGGAAAGCACGTTTAAAGCAAAAGTAATTCCTAAAAAAAATCACCAAAAAGAACTCGACTATTTACGATTTCATGATCAGAAAAAGTGAAGAAAAAAATCTACAGTATCTACAGTGATTACTAACTTAATCTTTTGTTTTAATGTTTCCCGGAAGAGGTGTTACGCTCGGTACACAGCCTCAACTTTTACTCAAGCGAAAACAGTCCGGGATGACTAAAAAAAAAAAAGACCTGACTACCAAGAGATAATAACATTCACTTGATGTCGTATAAATCAGTTAATAAACATATCAAACGACTCTGCCCGCAGGTGTTGGTGGCCGTGCTGGTGGTGAGCGTGACCCTGGCTGACCCTGACGTCTACGAACCAGTCTACAAACCGGTTAGTGTACACTTGACCCCTACCCACTGGATTTTACATATGCTTACGTCTAAAATGAATTTATCCACTACAGTATAACACATATGTAGCTTGACGTGCCTATGTCCTATTTCATAAGATTCGTTTGCTTTGTATCAAACGACACCCTCTTATTCCTGCATCCACAGGAGCCGCTGCCCTACTACTTCAACTACAATGTGTACGACGACTACAAGGGCGCCAACTACGGCCAGCAGGAGAAGTCCGATGGTAAAGCTGTGTACGGCTCCTACACCGTCGACCTCCCCGACGGTCGCAAACAAAGGGTACGACCCACCTCCTCGCACTGTTTACATTCATCAAAACAAGTCCCACACCCACAGTAGAATTTGTGTTATATATTTTTATCTTCCCTTCAGGTGGACTACACAGCTGACCACTACAAGGGCTACGTGGCCAAGGTCAGCTACTACGGCAAGGCTCAGCACCCTAAATACTACGGCCCAGCCATCACCTTCAAGCACCAAGGCTACGGCCACTGAGAACCACTTCACCACACCATTATAACTTCACACACACTATACAGCCGTGCCACGTTAATGTTTTTAAAAGCTCTATGTTTTAAATAAATATATTTTCCGAACTTCGTATTTTCACTAATCAGTTATAACCACAATAATAAATGTAAGTAAAAAATAGACCTAATCTTCCTTCTACGGGGTAACAGTAAGAGTTAAGACACAACGGCTACTGAAAGAAATAATTAAAACGTACTTCAGAAACTATCGTCCTATGATAAGAAAACAAAGGTATTTAATGTTGATAATTAATATGTACCGGTGTTAGATTACCTGCACTGGGGATCTACGGACACAACCAGACAAAAGAGAACGAGAAAGAATAAAAAAAAAATAAAAAAAATACACACCCACATAAAAACATCTTTAGGCAGACCTCAGAAGTGATATATTAAAATTCATATAACCAATTACACACACGATACACCCCCAACTTGGGAATCCTGGAATTAATGTGTAGTTACAGTTAAAATTCCCTGAATCCTTGACAGTATCTTGGTATAATCTACTTGTTGGTGAGGGGAATTAGGTCTTGAATATATCTATTTACTGAGATGTTAAGTTATATTGGGTATTTCATTCTTCTTGTTGCGACTCTGATACATAATGGAGGGCATTGTTAACCAGTTATACACATAAACCAATACACTTTATGGGTTAGGTTAGGTGGGTGTCTGCCACGTATTACAAAAGGTTGAAGGTGCCACAGCATTATCAACTGTAATGGATATCATGAGCAGTACTTTAGCTCCATAATAACAAACAGAATATAATTAAAATGATAATGTAGATCATTAATATTACTATTGTTCAATTTCCCAGCAAACAGTATTATCAACTTTCAATGGACTGTTGTTAAATTTTATGACAAATGTTGACTTAAAAACTATTATCCCTGAACAACATTATGAACATTTTATTCTTTTAAGTTTTTATATATTATAGAAACCAAAGCACAAGTCCACCAAACTCAGAAGTTCTATTAAATTTAACTACCATGAAAAAAAAAAATTAAATCGTCGGTTCTTATTATGATTAGAAAGTAACAGTTTTTGCCGAGACGTAGTTCATACTGGAAGAAAAAATACACAACACCAATGTCATAATACACGCCTCATCACCACACACACTGTACGCACCATAATAATATGTGCACCATTCACCATCATAATGTATGCACCATCAGAATGTACACACTATCGATTACCACAATGAATGCATCACCACCTTATACGCATTATACCATGTACACACCATCACCCCATACACACCATCACCATGTAAACACCACCACTATGTACACACCATCACCCTGCACACACACACCACAACTATGTACACACCATCACCATGTACACACCACAACTATGTACACACCATCACCATATACACACCATCACCATGTACACACCATCACCATGTACACACCATCACCCTGCACACACCATCACCATGTACACACCATCCATGTCACCATCACCTGCACACACCATCACCCTGCACACACCATCACCCTGCACACACCGCCACCATGTACACCATCACCCTGCACACGCCATCACCATGTACACACCGCCACCAGCTCTGCTCTACCACACATATGAAGGGTGAGGAATATAACGACCAGAGCTCCAAATTTCACCGATTTTCACTGAATATGATGTTTGATTACTAGTTTGGGCGTCACAGACACACACACACACACACACACGGAATTTATAACGAATTGTATCCCCCAAAACGAGGAATGTTTTCGGGTGACCAATGGTTATGTGTTGTGTAAAATGTCATGTTAGTTACGTGTTATGTATTCTTTTAAAGAGCGGGGAGAGGGGGAGGGGTTGGGTGAGGGGAAAGGAAGAGGGGTTGGGAGAGGGGTAGGAAGGGGAATGGGAGGGTAAGGGGGTTGAAAGGGTGAGAGGGTTTGGAAGGGGAGAGTGAGAGGGAGGAAGAAGAGGGGGTATGAGGAGGGGGTGGGTATAGGAAGGTGAGAGGAATTGGGAGGGGGAAAGGATAAGAAGGGGAAGGGTGAAATGGAGGCGGAGAAGGGTGAGGGGAAGTGATAGGGAGGGGGAAGGTAGCGGGATAGGAAGGAGGAGAATGAGGAGGGTTGGGGAGTGTAAAGTAAGAGGGCAGGTGAGAAGGAAAGGGGTAAGACCAATCGTTTTAGGAGGCATTAGTGACCCTTAATTGCTAAGTTCGTAGTTTATCAACGTCTAATCGCCATGTTGCGTTTATCTCTCTCTCTCTCTCACACACACACACACACACACACACACACGTACATTCACGACTCGTGTGTGGAAGTTTTGCAGAAAAAAATCTGTGACAATATTCCTCGGGGTAAAGTGATGGAGAACAGTTAACCCAAAACTTATTGTTGGGTTATAATTCATAAGATAAGTATTAGTCCCGTTAATGTGAAATACAACACACCACAAACACTCATCCTGTAACCTACACCCTGTCTATAATGTACACACAGTCTACAACTTACACCCAGCCTGCAACCAACACTTTGCCTGCAACCAACACCCAACCTAGCAATAGTTGATCCGACACGAGTCATTACCGCCCACAGATTTGAAACATAATACGTGACCAAATTCCGTTCCAGTGAATGAAAAATAATTCAGTGTAGATCGAAAACAAAAAGGTACGTGGGCGAGGAACGTGTGGCCGCCATGACGTAACGGAGTGAGGTGTGGTAGGTAACAGGTGGATATGAGTATTTAAGCACCAGGTTAGATAAACACAACTCATATCGACCTGGCACTCACCCGCCTACGTATCACAAAACTCGCGAAATGTTCTCCAAAGTGAGTAGTGTAATAATAAGTCTGTTAAGGGTTATAACTCGTTTTAATGTATCGTGTTTTTATGTCACACACACACTCACAGCTTCCTTTCCCAAGCCAACTGTTCCTTCACTTAATATGAACACCACTGAAGCGACAACTTAGCCCTTCAGAATATTTTTAATCAATAACCTGAAATAAAATTTTCCGTTTCCTACAGCAAAGTATGAAACGATAACAGGTGCTACAAACCCACACAAATTATACAACGAAAATACAAAAATTTCGTGTGCCATCCAACAAAGCATTTTCTACCAAAGTTTTAACAATTCCAACTCTTTCTGGCACGCAAACCTTTATTTTTGTGTGCAATATTATAAGTTAGGCTCAATATACGTAAAAATATATTATAAAAGACAAACAGATAATGTTTCCGGGTACCTTAATGTGAAAAAGTACAAACCAGCAAAATAATTCTATCTTAAAATAAATATGAAATAACTTCCTCCCGCAGGTGTTGGTGGTCCTGGTGGTGGTGGGCGTGACCCTGGCTGACCCTGACGTCTACGAGCCAGTCTACAAACCGGTGAGTGTACAGTACAAAGAATTACAAAGTTTTAATACAGTATTAACTCACTAAGCTATTTTATGAGAAAGGTTAACTATAGCACACAAGTTAACAGCAAATTTATATCACCTTGGATTATACTGTACCTACCTGAGTACCTGATATCTACTAACCACCACTTAACATCACCCTCAGGAGCCGCTACCCTACTACTTCAACTACGACGTGTATGACGACTACAAGGGCGCCAACTACGGGCAGCAGGAGAAGTCCGATGGTAAAGCTGTGTACGGCTCCTACACCGTCGACCTCCCCGACGGTCGCAAACAAAGGGTACGACCCACCTCACACTGTTTACACTTGTCAAAACAAATATTTTTGAGTTCCACGTCAACAGTAGAATTGAATTCTAATAAATCTTTTGTTTCTCTCAGGTGGACTACACAGCTGATCACTACAAGGGCTACGTAGCCAAGGTCAGCTACTACGGCAAGGCTCAGCACCCTAAATACTACGGCCCAGCCATCACCTTCAAGCACCAAGGCGACGGCTACGGCCACTGAGAACCACTCCTCACTACCTCGCCCTCACACATTTATCACGCCGTGCACTCTAAGTTGTATATAAATATCAAATAAATAAATATATTCTTTACCTACAAGTTTATATTCCATCCTAAGCTTAAAAGGTTAAATGCTCTTTCGTATTTCGGTATTTCCTGCTTATCTGGCTCTCCTGTACTGCAGTGTTACTTAAAAGCATCAGAACTGAACACAGCAGTAAGCTCATTCATGTAATGTGTGACAACTTCTAACTGTACTACGATCATTGATTACAAATGGATATGAGTTCGGATCTATCTATCTATCTACCCGCCCGCCCGCCCGCCCGCCCATCTATCTATGTATGCATTATCTTTAATATCCTCTCCCACTTTATATTTCTCCATCAAGGGTTACAGGAGCCTGAACAATGATGGCAAACAGTAGGGAAGAGTGGTGGAAGACAGGTAAAGAGGGAGAGACAGGTGCTGAAACAATAGAAAAAATAAAAAAATAAAATATACCCACATACACACAGACACCCTTGTATCATTAACTTGCATGTCCTGGATACTTTCACTGGAACACACAGACACTTCACAATAAACAAGTTAAGGTATTTCATGCACTGTATTACTTAATATGGAAGGAGATAATTTACACCTGTCCATATCGTTATAAAATACTTGGATTAGTAACTAACGTATTAGTTTGAAAAGTTCTACAGGTGATTATTACGTCATCAATGTGTGATATATGCAATGTAAAATGAATCGTAACGAGATATTCACAACTGCTTCTTGAAGATGTGAACTAGAACATTAAAATATGCATTTATCTAACTATCTATAATTTAGTTAAAAATATGTTAAAGGGAATAATCCTATGGTCAAGTCATTGTTTCAAATAATACAACATGAACATGGTAAAATTTATAATTTAATCCAACATTATAAGGTGAGCAGAATAAATGCAATAATATTAAGGTTATAAATCTGCATCATACACGTAGCTAAACTGTTAAGGTCATATAATTATTTTTTCCTTACTAAGGAAAACCAAAACTATTTTAATACAGCTGTGATTGATCACTAGTTACGTTATTTTAAAGTCAAGTTTTCGTTATTGATTACAAGCAAAATTAATATTGATAACCATAATGCATGTTTAATAATGATAAAAAATATTAATATTAATAATGAAAAAATATTATAATTTGAAATACCCTAAGACAGGATGTTGATATTGTTGTGTGCAATGCCATAGTCACACTGGAGGGCACAATACTCGCCCACTACGTCAGCAACTGAGGCAAACACACAAACTTAACCCAACTAAAGTAAACACACCGAAACTTTTTACCATTAGACCTCTGCTCTCCCACACACACACACACATATATATATATATATATATATATATATATATATATATATATATATATATATATATATATATATATATATATATAATGTGCACCACAATATATCGTGTAACAACGTATAACATAATGTACCCGGTATAATATTCTCGTACTAGTGATTAAAAATACATTTTGTACAATAAAATTTTGCTTTTTCCGTTAAAATATTATAATTAAATTGTATTTCCCTTATAATCACAGAGCGTCACATTCACTGACATTATTCTACATTATATATTTTTCAACCCCACATTACTACCAGGGCGGTACACCAACAGTTCATGTATTTTATCTTCCACAGTGATTTAAAAAGATTGTGTTATACATTAAACATCAAACATTTGTATTACCAAACATCTCCCATAAACTCAAATTTTGTTTCCAAATTCGAATACTGTAAAACATATTCATACAATAAACAGTAGACATTTTAAGAGTGAATATACAAGGTGTTACCCAAGGTGTGGTGCCTCTACCCTCTGCTATAATCGGTTATGAATGAGTAAATACGACTGAGTTATGGTAATAAATACAATGGAAGAAATATAACAATTACACTACATCAGTCTGCTGGAACAGTCACGTGCACCTCCACCCAGAGTTAGTCACTTTTTGGCCGAGCACACCCGTGACGTCACCCACACTACGTATATAAAGAGCCACCAGTCACATCCCAGTCATTCACTCACAGTTCTCAGCTGTAGCCGAATCATAACTCCAGCAAACATGATTTACCGAGTCAGTAACATCATAGTATTGCAAACTATGAAGGAACATGTAGTGTACTGTGTAAATAACACCTTGTGGACACCAGGGCCACAACTGTACACACTATACTAGTTAAAGTGACTTATACGCATTTGAAATACTAAGAAATATTAAAATAATTTACGTATCACTTCAAGTAATATACCGATGGAAAGAGCTTTTAAGGAAATCAATAAAAGGATCGTTTGCACATGTAAATATATTAATTGAAAAGCACTTCACCAAACCAGTACATTACTACAACTGGAGCAATTCAAAGCAACTGTTAAGGGTGTCAATGGAGAGTTGGGATATGTTAAAGGAATTTTTACCGGTACAATTCATGTGATTTTGTTGTGTCAGTTTTTTAATATATTTTCTTAGCCTCTGTTTAACTAATCTTTAAAATGAGGTAATAAGCAGAAGTACACAGGAACACTTACACCAAGTCTGCCCGCAGGTGTTGGTGGTCCTGGTGGTGGTGGGCGTGACCCTAGCTGACCCTGACGTCTATGAACCAGTCTACAAACCGGTGAGTACCAATCACCTTTACCTAATATATTAGTCCTTTTCCATACTGTGTTTACCTGTATGATTAATAAGACATATACCTATCTTAAAACACAATTATACTTATTAATAAGCACTTAACGACACCCACCCTTAGGAGCCGCTGCCCTACTACTTCAACTACAACGTGTACGACGACTACAAGGGCGCCAACTACGGCCAACAAGAGAAGTCCGACGGTAAAGCTGTGTACGGCTCCTACACCGTCGACCTCCCCGACGGTCGCAAACAAAGGGTACGACCCACCTCCTCACACTGTTTACACTTGTCAAAACACATCTTTTTGGTTAATATCCACACCCACAGTAGAAGTTATATTATGTTAAATCATTTCTCTTTCCCTCAGGTGGACTACACAGCTGACCACTACAAGGGCTACGTAGCCAAGGTCAGCTACTACGGCAAGGCTCAGCACCCTAAACACTACGGCCCAGCCATCACCTTCAAGCACCAAGGCTACGGCCACTGAGAACCACTTCACCCCCTCTCACACTTTCTTTCACAAAGCCGTGCCAGAATTTGTTTCACCTTGTATATTTTTGTAATATAAATAAACATCCTTTACAGGCTTACACTGTATTTACTTTTAATCATTATTCAAGAAATCAAATGCTGATTTATACGTGCTGTATCTATTACTTATAAACATAGTCTCCAGCAACTAATTCTTCAGAAAAAAAAATCAAGTGTCACTGAGTTTTGTTGGGGGCATCAGCAACAAAAACTATATCCTCCCCGAAAATTAAGTGCCAGATTAAGGTCCTATATGCAAAATAGGGCTTATGTCCTGCCTAATGTAGCATGACCGCTGTTTTCGTTTAGCCAAGCTGATGTAATACTGAAGGTTTATTCTGTTTTGTTTTTACTCTTATAAGCATTAACCTGTTATGGTGTAATGTGGCCGGAAACACCGTGTTTACTCAACATGCATACTTCCCAAGCTCACCTATGCCTCCCCTACCTGGTTTTCCTCCCTAAATGCCACACAACGTAAACACCCAGAAAAAGTGCAAAAGAATGCCTGCAAGATTATTCTCTCCCCTTCCTACTCCACATATCAAGAAGAGCTCAACACAGTGACCCTCTCGGCTCTCACTGACCATCATCACGACCTCATCTGCAAATTTGGTGAGAAGCTTCTGCACCATCCTCGACAACAACCCCTACTACCACCCGAGATCCCTCGTCCGAGAATTGCTATTCGACACCACAACCGCACCCAGCCCATGCGAGCACGAACTGATCACTAAAAGAACAGCCCAGTCCCAACCATTGTAAATATTATCAATAACTTGCAATCAACCAGCGTATTCACTCCCAGTCTATCTTACTTTTTGCACTGCCACTATGTTGAAATGCCCTGTAGTTTGAGCTTCTCCCCACCTAGTTATTATACAAGTGATCGCGGGCCCTTCGTGCCCGGTGAAAGTTTGAACGTTCGTGCTTGGCTAGCGCGCAACTGCCGTCCGGCTGACAGCGTACAGCGAATGAGGGTGCGCCACGTCCGTAGACTTGCATCGTTTTCCAGTGTAAATAAAATGGTTAATTAAGGCCTTCCTAAAGAAACCGTCGACATGGGACCAGGTTTGTTCCACTCTACGAATTTTTTGCAATTTTTCCACCAAGTTTGACGAAAAACGATAGTGCCGTTTCGACTGGCCAGAACACACACACACACACACACACACACACACACACACACACACACACACACGGCTATTCCTATAATATATTAGACATCATATTTGTATCACTTATGTTACTTGTATATTATTTGTAAATCAAGAGAGCCATTCCCCAATTATGTAACTGTATATTTTCAGCTTCCCGGCTGCCATTCTCTTTCAATAAACCGTTAATTATTATTATTATTATTATTATTATTATTATTATTATTATTATTATTATTATTATTACAAGTGTATTATCTCTTCACTGCTGTCGCTTCAGATATCCCATATTAGTAAGCTATTCAATGACAGAAAGCAATACCCATCCATTAACAAGAGAACAGTACTATACCACAACAAGAGTCACGATACAGTAAACCCAGATAACTGTCCGACGCCAGATTACTCAAGTGTTATCTAAAGACAAAAGATCACCAACAGGAATGTCAATAGATAAACCTCCACAATGTTTACACTCATGACAACTATATAAGCTGCTCAGTATTTCAGGAAGGAGAGCTGAAAGCGGACGTCCTCGAATAAACACAAATACGAGTATATATCACAGGGATTTATTATAATACCAAAGATGCCCTGAAGGTGGTTGATGTGTTTTATGCTGGTGTGTGTGTGTGTGTGTGTGTGTGTGTGTGTGTGTGTGTGTGTGTGTGTGTGTGTGTGTGTGTGTAATAATACGATTCAGTTTCCCTGCCAGTTCTAAGTCTTATGAAGTACTTGTGGCCAGGAGTGAAGAAGAGGAGTACAGTAGGTCATCACGGTGGCTTGGTTGAATGAAGGCGGACTGACTGAGAGTAACAGATGCAATTGAAACAGTTTATTGAGGCATAATAATACAAGTGCGGTACAAAGTGAAAAACAAATTAACTTGGTGGTTCCCGTGTTGATATTTAGTCTAAAACAAGTTACTGAGTATATTAATTGTTTAGTGCAAATAATGGTAAAGTATCTCTCCATTATTTGTCCCACAGATCAATTGAACGACTTTCTGCATCAACTTATTCTAATATAGAAGCTAAAGCCACCGTGGAGGCTCACACCCTTCACCAATACCACAAACAAAAACATCCATAAACTGATACAAGAAACTTGGTATCAATGAAACAGATAAGACTTGAGCTCCTGTACGGACACCATTTTTCTACACAGACTAACATTACCATGATTATATCTCCCCACTCACGCTATCTGTCGGGGGATGATGAGAATAAATTGTAAAGAGGATTTAAAGATTAAAAATGTGTCGTCCATATTTTTTACGATAAAATATTGGCGGAAAATCCTTTGAGCAATTATTCATCCGATTTACCCCATGGAGGAACGTCTGATGGCGGGGGCTTTACGATGTTATTATGCTGTAACTAACTCTCTATTTATCTATTATAATTACTTCTCTCCCATTTTTGTTTTGGGTGAATCGCGGGATACGGAAACATGAAGGAAGAGAGGGAGAGGAGATAACCCGAGGGACAGTAGTGGAAGACAAATGTGGAAAACAGTAATTGAAACAAGTAAAAATATTGCGCATACCCACACACACACACTATACACCCACAACACCAGCCTCCATCCTTAGCAATACAGTATCTGGTGGAATACTTATGGATCATGCTTGATTTTTGGCTGGTGAACTCTATCTTTCATCATATTATACACTGTCATTATAGCGAAGAAAATCCTATAATACGGAGACAAATATAAGTGTTAAAATACTAATCCCTCTTACCTACCCTATAATTGGCCCTTAAGTAGTTGATGGCAGTTATTGTATAAAATGTCGAGGGAATGTTGTCCAAAATTGTACCTAAAAAGTTATAATGCCAACTGTCACACGCTGTAATGTGTAAAAACTCACTGGGTAAATGTTTTTGTGTTTTTTATAACATATCAACAAGCAATTAAACGACTGATGAGAAGATAGCACTAATAACGCCACAACACTGTACGTGAATATTTATCAAAACGTATTACAGCTATGCCAGGGGGTGTGTGAGACCTGTTAATAGAGCTCCAGTCCTAAGAGGCACCATTATTAAGAGGCCCCAGTCCTAAGAAACCCCAGTGTTAAGAAACCCAGTCCCAAGTGAACCCTGTCCTAAGAAACCCCAGTCCCAAGAGGCCCCAGTCCCAAGAGGCCCCAGTCTTAAGACACCCCAATCCTAACAGACTTGAACCGAACCTAAACGTGAATATGAAGACCAGTCCTAAGAACACAGCCAAAGGGTGCCACTCCCCATGATTAGGTCCTGACCCACTAAAAATTGAGGCTCATTTCACCTAAAACTCATAATATTCCTCTTATTGGACTAGCAATCATGAACGAGGAAATACGACTGGCTAACACACCACCAGTCACATGACCAGTCAGATTGAACAGTCGAGAGCGCGGAGCCAACGTTCACCTCAGCCCCAAGTTATAACCTGTTGACTGGGTCTCCGACAGGTACTTGTGACGTTACGCTCATCAGGTATATAAGGCGCCACCAGTCACATGCCAGTCACATGTCAGTTATAACGCTAACTTTCGGATATGTAACAACAATGACCAAGAATACTGAAGAGAAAAACCATATCAGTTAGGTCAGGAAAGATGTATATTGGACCAACTTCACCAACATGCGATAAATCAACACCTTCTTCTTATATAAAATACTAAAACATCCATGCAAAAAAAAATATATATATCATCGTATCTTGGAATGATAAAAATAATTTAATCACACTCCTTGACAGTAAAGTCTCACCGTATCGTTTAAATTAAGTGTGACGAGACGAGATAAAAACATCAGAAGATTTTAATATCGGAGTGAAAATTTCTTCATTTAGTCTAGTTCCCGTGTTTAACTCCACAGAAAACTCGTCCAATACATTACAGGGAGATCTATTACATTCTCCCGAGGGTGATGTTCACCTTCCCCACTAAATGTTACGACTACGGATATTTAGCACTTGGGAACCACTGACACTATGCCCCCAATCTCTATGGTTAGGTTAGGTTAGGTTAGGTTTGGACCAAGTAGAACAAGGGTCCATATATATATATCTACTTGCTACACCTTTCTTATTTTTTACTAAATTTTCTGCTGTTCTCATCAAGACACTAATTAATAAGACGATTTTTTTTACTACAGTAGACATAAGGAATGTAAATAAGCCAACAGAAATTTCGGCACAGATATGAACAAGTGAGAGTGAACATGTATACTGAACATGAACAGGTGAAAGTGAACATATGTATAAAGTATGAACAAAGACAATATTTGGGCAAAGAGGAGGCAAAAGTAAAGAGGGTGGGAGTGGGGGGAAGGAGGGGTAAGGGGAAAGAGGAGGAATATCTCTCTCTCTCTCTCTCTTCGCTGATCCCTTGAGACTATGGACCGAAGGCAGGATAATGACCAACCCTTCTACTCACGAACCTACGGATTAATTAGATTAACAAATAGAAGCAGCCCTAATAATATTATGTTTATTGCGTCTCCCGTGACCTCTGACCTGTTGGACCCAAATAGCAAACTGTCAGGCAACGAAAATGGATAAGTCAACGTGCTTGGTCAAAATTCCTCTTATCGAAACATTCTTGATACTATTATACGTTTTCCCACCCTGACCACTGACCACGTAGCAGATTTGTAGGTATAATATGACCTTTGACCTGCCCTGATCATATCAAGACTAACAGGTACTGTATAACATGACCCTTGACCTGTCCTATATCAAGACTAACAGGTACTGTATAACATGACCTTTGACCTGCCCTGACCATATCAAGACTAAAAGATACTGTATAACATGACCTTTGACCTGCCCTGACCATATCAAGAGTAACAGGTACTGTATAACATGACCTTTGACCTGCCCTGACCATATCAAGACGAACAGTACTGCATAACATGGCCTTTGACCTGCCCTGACCATATCAAGACTAACAGGTACTGTAAACATGACCTTTGACTTGACCTGCCCTGACCAAAAAACAGACTGGGGAGTATAGAAAATATAGAGATGAACGTGATTGGTGGAAAGAGAAGAAAAAAACATCACTCCGAGTAAATCAAATTTCTTCTGTAAGGTAAGACACAATGGAGGTAATGACGTCACTCCAAGGCTTTATAAAGGTTCTTGGAAACTGATCAACAGCGAATAATCGGCTCCACTGCTTCGCCATAACACGACCGCTACAGCAGGTGGAGTGGAGAGAGGACGAACGATAACGCTTGTCTGGCATTGAGAGAGAGAGAGAGAGAGAGAGAGAGAGAGAGAATTACTCCCCAATTAAAAAAAAAAATACTCCAAAAAATAATTCAACACCAACTCCCACTCCAAAGCATTATGACCGCCACTGTGTCCGCCAACGAGCTTTATCATAACACAATATTATTAAGGCTTCCATAATTTTCCCACCTGAAGCCTGCCACAATGTTAGTAATGATATTCAGGTCCAATGTGTCATAAGGATATACAGTACACCATGACTCACACTGGACACACGTAATGCACCGCTGGCTTCGTTTACTTAAAATAGACCAAGTATTATTAGGTTTGCTCGGGATATTTTTTTTTTTAGGCCGGGTACAACTTTAGGCTGGGTACAACTTTAGTTTAGTATCGCGGTCTAATTTAACCCTTATTTGGTGTTTATTTCTACAAGCTTTATAGAGTAAATATTGTTATACTCATCGCATTCTACTATACAAGTGTTTTAGACTATTGATTTTACTCACGCTAGCCATAAAAATCCTACAAACTTTAATACACATCAAACGAAGCAACTGAACCTAACCTAACCTAATTACTCTGGGATATGTTAGTTAAATCAGAGAAAGTTAGCGAGAATAGAGTAGTTATGATTTGTTCGATTAACTACTATAAAAAAAATAACATGATACTACAGCCGCCATGACGGTAAGGGAATGAGATGTTGTACAAGAAAATTTACTTCCTTTTTTATCATAGTATATCGTATGTGAGGTGAGTCCTAACTGGGAGACATAGTGCACACAGGGATAACAGGTATGAAGGTCGTCTCTATAACTATCATTGACTTCAATACCTTTGTTGTATATGGAGGTAAAATCTGACGATGTTAATTTATCATCGTCATTGTTGCAGTTGTGGACAAAATTCCTTCGATACTTCGCAATATCTGGCATCTTATTCTGGGTCACATAGGTAATTTGTTTGAACTACCCTTACCTTCATAAGCCTCCAGGTGTTATATATTGTAAAAAAAAAATCCAGGTAATTTTGTAATGTCTGTGGAATCTATGCATTTTAGAAGGTTATAATCTCAAGTTGTGTGTTGTTATGAATTCTGAATAATAACCCAGGCAGCTGAATAAATTAAAACTGGTACAACAACAACATTCTATTTCAGTACCGGTAAAAATATCCCCAGTAGCTGAAACACCCAGAACAACATAGCCATAAAGATATTCAACTTACTCCCACAAAAATATATAAGACTTTACGTTTTTCGCATAACTCCCGTTTATGTTTCTTCTTGCAGTTAGATACCGGGATTACCATGATGTATCACACACACACACACACACACACACACACACACACACACACACACACACACACACACACGACTCGTATCCTGTACATAGTAATAATTATGTAAGGTAGCCTCCAGGAAATTTTAAACCATCCAGTTATTTCCGCCAAACTATTAAACTTTTACTACTTTTAATGGTAGAAAAATTACTACACTGTAAGTTACATTTAAGGGAAACATTCTAATTTTACATGAGTTTAGTCGGTCCAATGCCGCCTTTCCTGACCTGACTGATATTATTTGCAGTTTTTATTTTATTTAATTATTGTTTATTTTATTTTGCACGATATTTTCTTATTGTTATTACCAGAGTGTATTGATTATGATTTTCAGTGGATATTATTTACTGGAAGATTACAACATACTCCCACTCTTACGGTTGGCGTCACTAAAAAGTTTTACGTATTTCACTGCCGAACTGTTTTAAATGACCCAGTTGGCTCAAAAAACGTTTCTTTCCTTTCCTCAACGACTGTTTTATGTACACGGACCTACACTATCTGCCGCTCACTGTTGTAAAATCGTTTGAGGTATTTTTTTATTTAAAGAGTTTTAAATGAACCCTGACTAGCATTGTCTTAACACAACCACCTATTTAACGTTTGGAAATTGTTCACCTTTTAAGATGTTTTCAGTAACCTAGTTTGCGTTATCAAGGGATGACTGACCAGATTCACGTTATCTCGGGATGACTGACCAAGTTCAAGTTATCTCGGGATGACTAACCTATTTCACGTTACCGAGGGGCGACTCTCTTAAAATAGCTTGAGAGTTTTCCTTAAAGATAACGTTAGAATGACTTAGGCATTGTTGTCTTAAGGTTAATGAGATTTTATCAAAGAAAATCTTCAAAATAATTTAAGAGTATTTTAAGATAGTTTACACACCGGAGACTAAGATAGTTTACACAAGGGAGACTAAGATAGTTTACACACCGGAGACTAAGATAGTTTACACAAGGGAGACTAAGATAGTTTACACAAGGGAGACTAAGATAGTTTACACACCGGAGACTAAGATAGTTTACACAAGGGAGACTAAGATAGTTTACACAAGTGAGACTAAGATAGTTTACACAATCTCCAGATATTTTACACACACACACAAAACACTATCCTAATGACCTAGTTCGCATTGTCTAGAGCCGCTTACTCAAAAAGTTAAAAGAGATCTCCCCAAGCGGCCGCCAGTGGGGAGGAAGAGTGATAAATGTTGGCAAGAAACAACGAGACGAGACGAGCCTTGTCTGTCTGTGTCTGTGTCTGTGTGTGACGGAGGAAACGATTTACAAATATTACACCAGCCTGAACCATCACATCCCCAAAGAAACAATTTTCCTTACGGGTGAGATTTTATTCTTCACGGAAATATATTAAAGCTTGTTGACAACTTTGGACTACAAAATAAAAAAATAAAAAAAATATACACAAACACAAACTAATAAAATAAATCATGAATAAATAAAATAATCATGAAAATACAAACAATACAACCAGATACGTATATAAATTCTCTTACTCATACACATAACTTCCTATAACCTCCATCAGCGGGGATACGAACCCTTGATCTTGGAGTAATATATAGATCGTCACTACCACTGAGCCATACCCGGTGTTAAACGAACTATAGCTAAATCGACTATACATTGAACACCAATACTACCAGCTACCGTAAGTCTTTTTCTACCAGCTATCGTAGGTGTTGTTCTACCAGGTATTGTAGGTCTTTCTCACCAAATAACCAAGAAGCACAGTCAACTGATAGATGGAATAAAACACAGTCAACTGATAGATGGGATAGAACACAGTCAACTGATAGACGGATAGTGTTATGTATGACAACAGAAGAGTGACATAACAGTGGGTCTCGTCTAGTACTGGGTGTTCTACTTGGCTCAGTGATCACACACACACACACACACACACACACACACACACACACACACACACACACACACACACACGTACTCTGGCCTACCAACCACATACATACCTGAACGTCGTGTCAAGATCAGGTGAAGAAAGTGTTTTCCAACTCGCTACAGCAAAGGACACTTAAAGACTCTTCGTGAATCAATACAAACAATACGAGAGTGAGAATAAAAGTAATATTAAGAGAGAGAGAGAGAGAGAGAGAGAGAGAGAGAGAGTCAATGATCAAAATATAATATAAAGCAAACGAATATAAACTGAATAGAGAGAGAGAGAGAGACAGAGAGACAGAGAGGCAGTATAGTAATGAGTGACACCTCTGAACGCGAAGACCCTAACCACCCAAACTTTAAAACTCGCCACTAGTATCTTTCAACACCAGCAGACTGTGACTAAACCAGTGGCGTCACAAATCAAGCGAGTGTAAGTCATGTTGGGCGTGAGGGTGAGGTGCCTGGTAGGGCGTGACACTGATCTGACACGGCCGCCAAGGGAGAGCCACGGTGGGTGTCCTTGGCTCGTGCACCACCTCTCAGCGGGTATATAAAAGACCAATGGGGCAAGCTGTAGTCATTAACTCGTCAACCTCACCAGCTGATACATATCTACCTGTACTCACCTCTCCCCCAAAAATGATCTTCCAAGTAAGTTAACAGGTTCATTACAGGTGTTGATCGAAATAATAGGCTCACTACAGGTGTTAAGATGATAGGTTCACTACAGGTGTTGATTAAGATAATAGGTTCACTACAGGTGTTGATTAAGATAATAGGCTCACTACAGGTGTTGATCAAGATAATAGGCTCACTAGATGTGTTGATTAAGATAACAGGCTGACTACAGGTGTTGATTAAGATAACAGGCTGACTACAGGTGTTGATCAAGATAACAGGCTCACTACAGGTGTTGATCAAGATAACAGGCTCACTACAGATGTTGAACAAGATCCATTAGCGCTAATTGACTTTCTAGTACTTTAAAGTTTCTCCAAATTGGTGATCGAGGTAAAATAGCTCTGATTAGTGATTTCCTATTTATAGTCATTCTCAGCCCCAGGTGTGTAAAGACTCCTGGATGGAGTTTACCTGGAGATTAATGACGTTAGGGAGAAAGTTGTTAAGTTGGTTGTTCCTCATTAACGAAACAAATAAGGTTTTCTCTTTTTTAACCCAAACGTCATTCACTTGGAGAAAATAAATGGGATGGGGAAAAAAGTGATACTAACTATAATAGTGATAATTTAATTTATTTTTTTTTTGGCTTTGTCATAATATAGTAAGCAATCTATTTCTAGCAATGAATGAGGTCAAACATTCTTTCAACACTGAGGCCTTATCATAAAGTAAGGAAGCGTACAGGTAATGTAGGTTCATTTGCATTGTCATTTATGTCAGCACACGACCAAAACACCTAATTAATATAGAGAGAAAATTGATTAAAATGGAGTGAAAAAATCCCATTCTCCCTTACCTATATGATCGTAGCTGTACAAGTATTATAAACCGACATTAATTATTTACTCAATATATCGGTATCAATTTTAACACTTTCACTACTGTGTTATTAGTCAGGGTGATCTTATCCTCATGTTAGAAAGAAAAAAAAAAGATTAACCATTAAAATATGTTTCCTATCCCAACGAGAAACTGGGATGACTGGAACAGCATAAAAGACTCCTACTAGACATTAAAGACTCCTACTAGACATTAAAGACTCCTACTAGACATTAACTTTATATCCCAGAGCCATCCTTGTGCCTCTCAGTCCTACTTTTTCTCGGGACAATCGAGCGGTCAGGGACTAAGATGCGATGACTTGGTGTTTTAAATCCATATAAAGGTCACACTCTCATTACAACACCACGACAACACGTTATTTTCCTCCCAGTAAACCAAACACCGAGGATCCTGACCAACTTGTTTACAGTGACAATTTACAATGAATTCTTCGATCTGTATTCCTTCCATACCCTTCGTAAATTGGTTCACTATTAAGTCTGTCAACGACATTATTTCACTCTTCTCTACAGGAGTCGATCACGATGATTATTATATTTGAACTGACAGGTCATATAGGTCTCACTTCTAACTTACCCAAACCAACAGGGCTGGAGGCAGTCCTAACAGGCCCAAAGCCTAATAGTTGGGGATGGTGCGGTAGTGTGGGTCTACAAGAATTAGTATTCGGTCCCATTTGACCTGGAACTTTCATAACCAGGTAAGACAACATCTCTTACACTGTCAACACACCGTAACCAGTAGTGTACACCTCCACTTACCATTTTTCCTTATAATTGTGAATAAAGTGTCTGAACCTTACTTCTCATCTCACCAGGTTGCTGTAGCTGTGTTGGTGGTGGTGGTGGGCGCCCTGGCTCACCCAGACGGCTACGAGCCCGCCTACCCTTCCGTAAGTAAACAAACCTCTGACACTGTTATGTTACACTGTGAGTGTTATTCTTTCTTGCACTGAAGTAACTTGACCATCCAATGGTGTGACGGGATATATTAAAACTTATTTATCAAAGTCCGTATAAGAACTATGTATGGCGAACGCCATTCACAAACCAGGACACAGTGAATATAGATTGTTTTGTCAGTTCTCTAGAGGTGAACTAGCAATAACTTAGAGCAATATACTATGGTAAGGTTGTAGTAGCCAGTAGTGATCTAGCACATGGCTGGCCATCCTACTGTCACCACGTACTGACTAGCTTTCAGTAGAGATATTGAAAACGGATATAGTGATAAACGTAAACACGTTTTAGCTCATGAAGTCCAATATGACTTCTTGTTTACGATAATCAACACAGAGCCTAAAAACATAATTATTAACATTGCCCACTCGTCAGCTCACTATAAATATTTTAACTACCCACCTACACCCTCCCAGGAGCCTCTACCCTACCACTTCAACTACGCCGTCCACGACGACTACAAGGGCACACACTTCGGACAGAACGAGAAATCGGACGGTGATGCTGTCTATGGCTCCTACACCGTCGCGCTCCCTGACGGACGCAAACAAACAGTATGTTCTTATGCGAAAACAGTATCATTCAAAGGACGGCATCTGAATTTCGGTGATTTGCTTTATTTTGTGAAGTAAAACATTGTCAAATACTAAACATACGCATGTGCTCTCCTCCCCTCCCAGGTGGACTACACAGCTGACCACTACAAGGGCTTCGTGGCCAAGGTCAGCTACGACGGACAGGCCAAACACCCCAAGCACTATGGTCCTGCCGTCACCTTCAAGCAGAACGGCGGGGGATACCACTGAACGCCGGCCGGAAGGAGTGTACACCAACAGCTACCAAGGAAGGCTGTCAATGCACCTGTAACCATCATCTGTACAGGTTACTAAATTATGTAAACACTAGATCAAAATAATATACTAATTAGCACTACCTGAGAAACTTTATTTATTCATCCTAAATCCTTCTAAAATTCTAACCTCTATTGAACTGTTCCCTCAAGGCTTTTTTCACAATACTGCTTCCAAACCTCCCGAATATACTGGCCAACTCCAACCATGATGACACTACTAAACCAGGTTAACACTTTACAAACTCTTTTTAATTAACAATAGAACCAGTGAAGGACAAACACTTTTACTTCACCGAGAGAAAACTTTCGGTACAAATTTACGACATCGTATTCAAGAGTTTAAGTCATCTTAGTCGAGAAGTTACTGTACTCAAGGGGTAAATCATAGTACTCAAGGGGTAAATCATAGTACTCAAGGGGTAAATCATTGTACTCAAAATTTTAAATATCTTACTCGTTTGGTTTACTTGCTGTACTCAGGAGGTTGGCATAGTACTCAAAAAACTTCAAAATTACTCAACAAAATGACCAACAAGGGGATAAGAATATAAAGATCCTCGCCATAGTAACAATAATCCCTTGTAGCAGGTGCAACAGTTACCAAAGAACCGTAAAGGTGTTGCAGTAAAGACGAGACGGATCACACGCTCTCCAGCCCACACATAACAAGTGAACCAATTAAAAGATCGGGGTCACGCAGGGGAAGCATCTCACAAAATTTTCCCCCCTTTGATCACCTTGTCTCAGATATTTCACCTCCTTTATCTGGAGCAACAGAGAGGAAGAATTATCACCTGACTACAAAGACATCAATGAGAACTTTTACTTTGATGTTTCAAATCCCAACTCAAATATGACGGAAACTAATATTAAATATAAAAAAAAATACGTGATTTGTTTAATAATACGAATTCAAGTCACAGGTGAATATTGTAAGTGATTGATAAATATTGTAACTCTAACATAACGACTTTAATAAGGTAAAAAAAAATATAAAAAATATTATCGTATTGCAGACGCCTGATTTATAATACATTATAATTTTGAGTTTCCATTTATCTAACTATCACATAAAATAAAAATATTACGATCTTACAAATGAAATATATCGTAAAATAAAATGTATCGTAAAAATAAAATGTATCGTAAAAATAAAATGTATCGTAAAAATAAAATGCATCGTAAACATTAAATATATCGTAAAAATAAAATGTATCGTTAAATAAAAGATATCTTAAACATAACAAGAATCATAAAAATATAAATACTCTGAAAATAACAGAAATCAAAGGTCAGCCTCAAAGTGGCTTTTAAATGTCAGGATAAAAAAGATACGACATAAGTAGACGATCATTTGTTTTCTCGCACGCTCGACTGACATTAATTTAGACCTCGACATCGACACCAGTGCCAACATCGACGCCAGTGATGTTCAAATTCCCACAGTCTGTCAAAACTTCAGCGCCAGTGACCTACAACGCCTGAACCCAACGGCAGTCATTCAGTATCGATACCTGATAACAGCAACAACAACGCAACAACGACTTCGTAAATAGCCGACCGAAACTGACAATCCGACATCAACACCTATGACTTCAACGACAAGGCTGACGACAACGACAACGCAAAAGCCAGTGACTTATGGACAAGCTTATATGACGACAACGCCGATAGTCAACCGATAGTCAACCGATAGTCAAATAAATCATTTTAAAAATAAACAGAGAGAGAGACCATTAATATTTTTTTGTTTTTTGCATTACTGAGCGAATACAGTACTTTTTTTCCCACTCGAGTGTACTGTACATTTGGAAGTTGGCAGATACATACATGCACAGTGCTTGACGCGTTGCAGCAGGCTGAAGTAGAGAGCATCGTGAAAGTAATGGGGGAGGTGAAGGGATGATGGACAGGGGCAGAGGAGGGAGAGGGAATTCGGAGTTGTGGTTGGGATTGCGTATGAGCTTTGGCGTGTGTAAAATAATAATAATAATAAACGGTTTATTAATAGAGTTGCAGCCGGTGGTCAGCATCAACAGAGGAAGGAAAAAATCAGGAGGTGCACAATGATAACACAACGACACATAAAAAACAACAGAGGACCCAGCAGCCAAGGAGTCCCCTGGTAGACCGCACCTTGCCACACATCCCTCCTCCTGCCATCATCACAGGTCTTTATGGTGAGCTAATTACACTATTCACCAGCGCGTACGTATGATATACAGGTATACTAGTGAAAGCCAACAAGCGGCTAATTCCTTTATCTCGAATACAGACGTTGTGGGAAGGGCGAGGGATTTTGTGGTTAGGACTTCCTTGTTATGGCTTCTGTTTAGTTACCGTGCTTCCATTTATTTAATATTCATGGTTATGAGTGGTCGAGACAACATGTCATAATATATAACAGAGGGCTTGCGTAAATATGTAAACGTACGTGGGTACTTGTATCTGATTCTTGGGATCATCTAAAGATTACACAAACGAGTTTATTTCACTTGCTAACCTAACTGAACATAGCATAACTCTCCCAGGTGGCGTTAACCACCCCTTCTGTCTGGTGCCGCCTCTGTGCTGAATAAAAATCGTCTGGCGTCAGCTAAATTACATACGAAAAGTGGCGTCCCCGTAGTGAAGAAGTCAAAGTGGTTAATATCCAGGTAAAAAAAGCTGGGGCGTCCAATATTCAGTTCTATACGTTCAAACCTGTAATTCGTATAAATAAATCATGAGCTGTTATAATTAACGTACACAATGTGTAATAGCATCAAATTATTCACTACTTCTGCTGCTGCTTTAGCTAAAGTACTACAGGTGTGACTTATCATGATCAAGTCTACTTTGTTTCACTAGAAAATTAATTTTGAAAGTCAAATCTCTCTAAACAAATGGTATACTGTTACAAAGTTGTCTGATGAAAATACAAAAAAAATGGTCATTCAACACACACAGGAGGACTATTATAATATAAAAATACACCTCAGGGATACTGACGTACATTACACTGATGAAATTTGTCATCAGTTAACAGAAACATCAACGAGTGACGAGACTTTTTTCTACCCTGGGAAGGGAGGGTCAAACTCCGCAGGATTTAATTTCAATACGATAGCTTCTGAGTCTGCCCATTGTTTGTCCATTTGCCTCACCAGATATTTGTTACCCTTCCCTCTCGAGTTAAACAGGCTGTCCGTTCCTCTTGATATACAGTAAAGCTAATTATAATCTTCAGTTTTCGAAAAAATAAAAATAAAAATACAAAACAGAATATAACGAGCGTATTACTAATGTGAACTGCCAAAAAAACCCACCATCTTACAATTTATACAGGACTTAAACACATTATAATTAGTCCATATACACTAGACTACTTTCACAAACATACAACTCAAAGTGTCTGATGTAATTACTCATCATCCCCTGATGTAATATGGACCACCCGAGGCACTATTGACCAATAACCAACTTCCTTGTGAGTGCCAGACGGGAGGAGGTGCCGTAACCTCTCTGGTGGGAGTGGCAGGGACTCACACAGGGAGGTGGAGGGAGGGAGGGAGGATGGGTGGTCAGAACTGGTATATAAGCAAGTGGAGGGGGAAGAGATCACAGTCACCATTACCAGGTTGTTGGCAGCACTTCTCGCACTCCTCTCCAGTATGTTTGCTAAGGTTATTATTACATCTCACGCACCTCAACTTACAAACGAAACTCACCTGTGCTATATTAAGAACGACACAGTCATAACTCGGCCAGACATCATCGGAGTGGAACCATCTCGACACAAGCGCATCATCCATCCCCAATTATACCACGTGAAGTGAATTTTAGTTGAATATTTTTGTAATAGTTTAAGTTACGACCTTTTAACTATAGAGACAACTTCTGATGATAGATATAGACTTACAGGCATTCAGTCTGTTGTAACCTAGCCCCCCCCCCTCCCCTATAGTCAGGATTGGGGGAAGATAATGAATTCAAAAGTCTCCTGCGGTCATTTAAAGCTGAACATTAAGCTCTTCTGTGGCCAACGTGACAGCGTTTATCTGCCAACACACGAGAAACCTTCCTGAAGTTACAACTGACGGCGGTGACTTACTAACGATGAGTAAGGGTAAAACTAAGAGTAGATGTTACGATTTCTTTTACTTTCATAATCTTTTTTTTTCTTAGAGTTGAAGGCTATTACTCCTCCGCACTGATGGACAATTATCTGTAATATTCGAAAAATTTTATACGCACCATTTTCTGTTTGTTTTAATTGCTCTTATTATTATTTACCCTAAGCTATCACAAGGCACATAACAATAGAATGAAGAACAACAACATTAGTCACCTTCAAAATGTATCATGTCGTCCTCGTCATTATCACAGGTTCCTCGTCTCCCGATCTGCGTGGGCGTGATGGTGGTAGTGTTGTTAGTGGGGGTAGTGGCAGCGCGCCCTTCCCTACCAGCAGATCCACCCTACGCCCCTCCCTACTCCCAGCCCTCCTACAAGCAGGTCTGTGTCCCTCACCTCTCTGTTACCTGTCCCTTACCACTACCTTATGTCTCTTGCTTTCCAGAGTCGACTGTCACTTGTTGAAATATTTACACCGTGCGGGTTTTGTGAATTGCTTTTTTAAGGGGTGACTATCGTGACGGGACACACACACACACACACACACACACACACACACACACACACACACACACACACACACACACACACACACACACACACACTAACATGACCTTTTAAATGCCCTATGATAATAAATTTGTTAACTTATTAAAAAAAATGGAAAATGAAACTCTTGAACTAATACAAAAAATCATTAAACATAATATGAACTTCTATTAACTAAAATAATAATTGAACGACCACTTCAAGAACATTTAAACATTCAGTCATAACAGGAACTTACGAACACTCATAAACATTAATGCATTGTCGTAAGTTAGAAATTCATACGATAAAAAAAAATTACCATTCGATAGGTTGGTAATAAAACTAATTAAATATGTCCACCAGGGTCGGCCATACTCGTTCAGGTACGGGGTGAAGGACGACTACGCAGGCGCTGATTATGGCCAGGACGAGACCTCTGATGGGCACCTGGTGAAGGGGTCGTACTTCGTGGCGCTCCCCGACGGCCGCCTCCAAACCGTAACGCCATATTTTTTTTTCCTTCTAGTTTTTGTATTGTGGATCTAATGATTATTATCTGTTGCTTTTTATTGATACTGTTATTGCATCTTGGTGTATTTTATTCATTCTTCTGCAACAACTCGGCAATTCCATTATCTTGCAAAGGATCACCTGAAGAATATCCTCTCTAGCATATTTAACCTTAGGATTAATCACCCTAATTCTATTTTGGGCAAATGAGGTGATGTTACGTTGGGTTTGGTTGACTTGGTTGGGTTAGGTTGGGTGATCTCATAATAAAACACTGTTATTCGATCACAGGTGAAGTACCAGGCGGACCACGTCATCGGATACGTGGCAGACGTGGAGTTTGATGGTGACGCCCAACACCCCATCGCCCAGTACGGCGGCCCCATCACCTTCAAGCCCAGCTCCCGCCCTTCATAGTCCCATCACACGTCACCTTCAGCGTCACTTTCAGGCCCAGCCACCCACCTTTTACAATTCCGTCACACGTTAGCGTCAACTTCAGGTTCATCTGCCGCCCTAGATATTCCCGTCACACCTCACCTTCAAAGACTACGGTCACCTTTCAGCCATTTACCAATTCATGACGAGTCATACTCATCCCAACCACATGCACAAGCCCACCACGACCATGTTCATCAGTTTCAGCGTCATCCACTGATCATGACACCGTCACCTTCAAGGTCACCCACTATCACCATCCTATCAACTTCAGGATCACCAATCGATCATGACCATCACCTTCAATCCCATCCACTGACTATGACCATCACCTTCACCTCCACACATCGATCCTCCTTCTATGAGACACATCCTACACACTAAAGTTGACCTCCCCGCTGCTAGTGGCTTCCTCTTAACTCCTCCACCTTAACAGTCACCGAGTCATGAACTTGTCTCACTACATAAGGTATCTTGTTGTGGCAGTAGTTGTAGTAACAGGTTATACAGACACACTCGTCAACACTTCCTGGTCCCACTCACTACATTCATCAGTAACAATGTATAGGGAATATATTCATTCATTTGTTAACGATAATATATTCTCCAGGCAGTGTTAATGTTAATCTGGACGATATTAATTGGGAGGTGTGTAATATATTAACGAACACACAGGTAATATTAATGATAATACCTTTGTGTATATTCCCTCTATATCTCAGAAGAGAGGTAAAGGTGGGGTATTTTTTCACATATATTTCTGATAGTGACAAAGACAAACACAGTGATGATTAATGACTGAGAATAATAAAAACAAGTCGCCGGTGACCCAGACACAGAGCAGCAGACTGTAAATCAATCGGGTATTTTTTGGTTCAGTTAGGGTAGAGTTAAGCTCCCCTGTCCTGGCGTACTGACTTAATTAATAACTTGGTAATTGAAAAACTGAGCCAAAAATAATAACTACAAATTATTATTATTCATATAATTTTTTTTATAACGTTATATCAAGTGTGAATGACTGCCCGAAATGTTTAACACTTTAGAGAAAATTTTAATAATTTTTTTTCGCAATAAAACACCTCGGTATATACAATATCCATATAAGCTTTAAATCCCTTTCCATTGTTATAAATAAATAAAGTTATAAAAACAGATTAGTTGATTTTTAACCCAATAGTTTCCACATCCAATTTGTTAACATACACGATACAGTGAATAATAATAATAAAAATAATAAAAATAAGTGTATGATTGACAGCCTGGATGATTTAGTAAGTACCTATATTGTATTGTATGTATTGTAATCTCAAACAAATCCTAACTTTCCTTATTCTAACTCATAAGCGGTCAAGGGATTTTCACGTTTTTTTTTTATTTTAAGTTATTACAGATCTAGGTTAACTGTAACGTCAGTATTAAATGTAATATTTAATAGCTACCCCTAAGGTGTAAATTTTCCCACTCAACACACCGTTTTCTTTGTTGCCACACACCCACACACTGTTTACAATCCACTTATGTTAATGATTTTCCTATTTTTTTTCATTGCATCGTATCACCAGTTACTCTCACACTATTAACTGTTCATCTTTTACTAAATCATGAATACTGAACATATTTGATACGGCATTTTTGTCATGTTTCATCCTAATGTTTCTTTTTAATAAAACTTTACTACAATTTATTCCACTAATATTAAATGCAGATGTTTCTATAATTAAGAGTCATTTATACGTGAGGATTGATGAACACCTCCCCTCCCCCCTCGATAACGACCCGCCCACGACTGGATGACGACCCGACCACGATTGGATAAAGGACAAGCCCACGACCTGAACCTGATAACGACCCTCTCTATCTCTCAATACAGGGAAAAATTAAAGTAGTAATTTTCGAAGCTCTGGACCCTGGAAGAGGTAGCGGCGTCACATGAGAAGCGTGAAATTACCTTTATATTCCAACTAGGTCCCAGAAAATGAGTGTCCGTCCCCCACCCCCTACCACCGTGTGCCTGGAGGACAACAAACAATGATCGGGACGGGACGGACGGTCGGAAAGACGGGTGGACGGACGGACGGATGCACGGACGTGGTCTTCTCATTCAGGTATACACACTCCTGCCTCGGTCACTGACTTGGGTACAAATTCAGGGTTCATTAAACTACTTTAGCATTACGATCTGCAGTGTCCTCAGTGTAGTTACATGATGATTAGACGCCCCAGATGGATTATATGAATAGCGACACCATCTGTACTATCAACAAACTTACAGTACATTATGAGTCTACAGTTAACAACCATATATAGAATTGCACTCTCCTTCACCATATTCCCTCGCTACTCTCCCTCACTTTCAATCACCATCGCCCAAAGGTATCACTCAACATTATCACACACCATCCCGCGGTGAAAGTGATTTTTTTTTCGGTGCAACACTCAAATAAAAAATTTGTTTCTTTACGTCATTGTGCAATGTAACCATGCAAAATGACTTCCTCGTCCCCCAAGCAGAGGCGAGACAGATGGTCGACCGGGAAATAACACCCTCGCCGCCACCACCAGCACCAGCGGAAGGTTCTTACTGTCGAGATGATAATGTTTTCTTCGTAGCTCCAAGCATGACATTAAATCCAAGGACGTCGAGTACAGGTAGAGGAAACGAAATAATCCACTGAAATAAACTATTAATATCTGGACTACATCTGAGGGTCTCCATATGGTAGACACGTTCAGTACAAACTTAACAAAGCTGGATTTTTATTCTTTAACCCCACGGCCGAGATTAAATGTAAATACTGTACATATTTATAGTTTATATATAAATGGTCAAGTAAAAATTATCCAGGGCTGTGAACTACCCCACACCCAGGATACGTGGTGTTTCTAGCAACACTGTACACGTGGCAGAGAAAGGTTTATTTCCTTAATGTTTACTAGTTATTATCTAATGCAGGAACTGACCTTTTCATCTGTGCTTAAAAGCCTTACATGTAGAAGCATGTTGAAGACTTACAACGATAATGAAACAACTTACAGATTTTTATTTATTTATTTTTATTTTTTTTTCTCAGTCGAAAACAATTCTGAACCTCTTCCCCTCCACTCTATGAAATATATCCATTAGTCTGTCAAATACTAATAATATAATAATATAACCATGTAACTAAACCTGTCACATAGAAAGGTAGCGCACAATCTGATTTATATTTTATTTGTTTTTAAATTTAACACGAGTAGGAAAGCCAGAGGCAAATTTCCACATTTCCGCATTGTTGTTATACAAGCCCACTCCACGAGTCATATTAATTAATTTTATTAAAACTTTTATAATATCATAAAGGAGTGATGTACAGACTCCTATGTCTCTACCACCTTCTATAATAATGTACTATATATCTAAATGAGGTATGACCTGAGATTAGGTATAGACAAGTGAGATATATAAACTGGGGCATCACTCGGCCAGTACACCAAATTATCATTATCTGACCCCCGAACCGAAGTGAGAAGGGTACTGGTGTGACCTTCAACTTTGACCCTTCATTAGGAGCGAGTAACACCCTAGCACTGACCTTGACGCCTGACCTTCACTCGCTGTAGGATACCATCTGACCTTGAACCCTGACTTCATCTGGGACCAAAGAACTATTGACCCCGGGACTTAGATGTCTGACCTTTCTTTCCACGGAGTCCATATTACCTTCGTCACCAGAGAGCAGACAGAGGGGTGCCGAGGACCGTGGGTGGCAAGTTTGAAGTGGCATCGTCCTTTACCCCAATAATGAATAAATCACACCCATGAAGGAATACCCAGACAATAAAACACCCAGGACATATGTGAAAAGGAGAAGTGAAAGGAGCAAAAAAGGAGGAAGAAGGTATAAGAGGCAAAAAGAGGGAGAAAGAAGACAGGAGAAGTACGGATAGAAGTGGAAAGAAAATGGATGAAAGAAAAAGTTGAAATCAGAGGGAAATAAATCAGGAAATATAGAGAAAGATGAGAAAAGAACAAAAAGGGGAGAAAAGAAGAAAAATATAAATCAACAATACCAGAAGAAGAAGAAGAAGAAGAAGAAGAAGAAGAAGAAGAAGAAGAAGAAGAAGAAGAAGAAGAGCAAAAGTAAAACGAAAAATGTTGAGATGAGGAAGAAGAGTAGACGCATAGACGCCTCAACAAGTAGTTCCTGCCTCGAATTAAGTACAACTACTGTCCATAGGCCTATGAGAGAGAGAGAGAGAGAGAGAGAGAGAGAGAGAGAGAGAGAGAGAGAGAGAGAGAGAGAGAGAGAGAGAGAGAGAGATATTAGGAAATGTGAGGCAGGGAGTGGCAGGTGACAGACGGAACTGGCAGTAACGGAGAAGGGATGACCATTGGAGGACAGCTGTTTATATGGTAATTTGACATCCCCGACACCTATTACGACCACCACCCCTTGACAGCTGTAACTACCTGAACCACCATCATCACCACCCTTACCAACACCATCACTACTTTCACCAGCACCCTTGCCAGCACCATCATTACCATCTCCACCATCATTATTATCACCATTATTATCGACTGCTACTAACATAACAACCACCACCATCTCTACTAGAACCACCATTACCATCACCACCACCACTACTACTACTAAAATCACCACCACCACTACTACTAAAATCACCACCACTACTACTACAACTAACTACCACCACCCCCACCACTATTACTACCACCACCATCACCATCACCCAAGCCAAGTTCCTCTCCCTCCCCAGAACATTTCATTTCCTGGGTGACGGAGTTATCCATGTACAGGTGACGCAACGCCTAGATTCCCCTCCAGGTAATATCAACATAACTCATACCTGGTCTCCGTGTTGTGGTGCGAGTAGCAGATGGAAGGGTGCGACAGATGCGATAACAACAGGATTGGTGTGAGAGGCAGGAGGAGCTACTATGAGGGGTGAGACAGTAGCAAAATAAACAGGTTAAGTGTGAAAAGACGAGTTAGTTATGTGTGCGACAGAGAAAGAGCGGAAGGGTGAGAAAGTTACATCATCAACACATAAGTATGCCACACCCTCCCACGTCTTGAGGCTTACACTTATTTAGACATTCCAGCCAGGTTAGAACGTCTTCACGCTCCTTACTCAACTAACACCTCGCTAATAATGGCCGCTCATCAACCCAAAACCATGACGTTAATCTGACATTTCGTAAAATTACATCATAGTAGTCGTCGTAAAATTGAATAACACATAACGAGTTTGCCAGTACCTTAGATCCATATTCGTACCGTCAATGTTTTAAAGAGGTGAGAGAAATTGAATGCTAAAACGCCAAAATTAAACCACGAATCTACCATGACTACAAAACATTATCTTAAACTTATCTGTTGAGTCATTGTTTAATGTACGAATCTTAGGAGAGAATACAGATGCAACTTTGTATTCAATATGTGAGAGTGAGGTAGTGATGCGTATTACAGTATGATTGACAATATGGGAGATAGTCAGGTTGAGATTGGTTTAGTGTTGATTAAAATAACAATATTCATCAACACAATACCTTTCTGGTCCTTCTGTATCATGTAAGGAGAAACGTCGTCACTTCCAATATTCAACTCTCTCTCTCTCTCTCTCTCTCTCTCTCAATCTTTCTTTTTCTTCCCATTTTCTATCTCCGTCTGTTCCTACACAAAAAATCAGGCTAGACCTTCGAGTTACGTGTTTAAGCTTATTCTCCTCCACAGTATTGAGAAATGGCCAAGCGACTACTTCCCCGTCGGAGCAACAAGCTATAATGAGGGCTTAGGGGGGATATTTTAGGCGCTCCGGTGAGTGTGGTGTGCCGCAGGGTGAAGATTGTGGTCCCGCAGTAACATTGTGGTCACAGTCACGAGCTTGACCAGGACCTGACATAATAGAACCCATCGAACTCAGTCTTAAAGGAGCCTTGCTATGGGTTGTCCTACACACGATCAGCAATACGAAATGCCTGACACTGGCCGTTATAAAAGACATACCAGAACAGAACCCATGCAACAGAACTCAAATAGAACTCATTCCAGAGTTCTAGCGATAAAACCCGCCTCACAGGACACACCTAGAAGAGAAACCATCCGGCAGAACCCGCCTTACCACAATCACATATAATAAAAAGGTTGAGTGGGGGAGTCTCGCCCTTCTAATGACAACTTTGACACACGTGAGACTCGGGAAGGAAGAAACTTTTATGACTCACTGATGGACAAATGGCTACTGTTTTCCTTTTTCTCAGCGAATACCCGTGTTTTCCTCACCACACCACTCATAACTCACACACACACACACACACACACACACACACACACACACACACACACACACACACACACACACACACACACACACACACACACACACACACACACACACACACACACACACACACACACACACACACACACACACACACACACACACACACACACACACACACACACACACACACACACACACACACACACACACACACACACACACACACACACACACACACACACACACACACACACACACACACACACACACACACACACACACACACACACACACACACACACACACACACACACACACACACACACACACACACACACACACACACACACACACACACACACACACACACACACACACACACACACACACACACACACACACACACACACACACACACACACACACACACACACACACACACACACACACACACACACACACACACACACACACACACACACACACACACACACACACACACACACACACACACACACACACACACACACACACACACACACACACACACACACACACACACACACACACACACACACACACACACACACACACACACACACACACACATACACACACACACACACATACACACACACACACACACACACACACACACACACACACACACACACACACACACACACACACACACACACACACACACACACACACACACACACACACACACACACACACACACACACTCTTTCCTCAGCATCTACACCTTCCTCAATGACTCCTACCTCACCATCCACATCTCTCTCACCAGTGACTCCTCCGTTACCATCCACTCCTCCCTGACCTCCTATCACCTTAAAATCAACTCCTCCCTCATCTACACCACCCCTCACCACCTTACCCTCCCCTACTCTCCATCTATTACACCAACCTTTCATACCAAAATAACACACCCTGTAACCCACCTATTCATTCACACCACCACCACACACCAAAGAAGCGTTAATATAATAAGTATACTGAATTATGAAGGAATTTCAATGACTTTCTTGGAGGCAACACCAACACTGGAACTTGTACAAAAAGACAATCGTGGAAAATGTAACTAAGCATCATATTCTCACCTTCAGTAACCACAAGAACATGATGGGTAATGAAGACTCGCCTGACCTGATGACGATGGTATAAGTTAGTTCTACCACAGGTGTATAATTGTTGTGTATCAATAATTCCCATGAGACTAATACAGTATATGACAGTGTAAAGACACTTCTTTATAAAGCTGGTAATATTAGTTAACTGGAGCAAGACTAAAAGATATCAACGTCTTGTTTTAATCTCAATGAAACGCGTCAACTTCTAAAAACTTCGGATGTTAAACAAGAGAGACATAACCGTTCAGTTCACAGGTGTAAAAAAAATATTGACAGGACTGGTGACTAACTAATGGGAAATTAAAAAAACAAAACAAATCATGTAACTCAAACTAAAACACCACCACAGAATCAGTCACATAAACCAAATGCAAATCAAGTCCATTATTCGAATTTATTTTACCTATACCTGCCGAAACACCTGGTGGGCTGACTTCACGGCCAGAACTCATGGGTTAATTCTGACAAGTTGCTCAAAGTGTAAACGTGATCAAACTAGACTGAGCTACGTGGCCAGCAAACACTAACAGTTTCATTGATCAGAGGACCATGAATGCGAGCTGCAGGTGTACGGGGGCTGCCAGGTACACACACGAGACTTCAAACTCAGGTAAAGTCTAAGTTAATTCCAGGTGAAACTGAAGCTGTTCGTAAACTTAATTTGCCAAAGATGGTATATAATCTTCTCGTCTAATTTTAATATATCAATCAATACTAGTTATTCAGTGTATGGTTACAACGATAAAACACACACACACACACACACACACACACCTCACACACACACACACACACACACACACACACACACACATATACAACTCCCAAACCCCCCTCACCCATTAGCACCTCCTCCTGCTCCCCATCTCCCCCCCTCTCTTCCTCCTCCTCCCTCTCTTCCTCCTCCTACCTCTCTTCCTCCTCCTACCTCTCCTGTAAACACAAGTAACACGATAAGGAGCACCCTAAACACGTAATAAGCTCACCCCCTAACAACACACACCTGACACCCTCATCCATCCATCCTTGTAACTGTTAGGCACATGTATACTGTCGTGTAAACGTATATATGTATGAGAGAAATATGTGTGTGTCTGTGTGTGTAAATTATCACTGACCTGAAACCTCCATATACCTGTACTAACATCCTTAATTAACACCTGTACCGCTATAGCATTCTCAATTAACAAAATGAAATTGAATTAAACAGAAAATATCAGGAAAAATATTAGGCCGAGAAGAAGAAATCAAGACTAATTTATTTTTTTGCAAACAATTCGTTTTATTAGTCATTACGGCCGTTCGTTCGTTCGTCCGTCCGTCAACTTTCAAAAAAGCAATCGACAGCTGGACTGAAATCGTACTTTGCGTTTTATGTAATTTGCAACATTCACACGAGAGCTTGGGTTTATGAGGTGGTGTTTTGATGTTTGTGTTTTTTTTAGTGTTTGTTGTTATTACTTAAGTTTAGCAGATGACTTGTTTTATTGACACGTAATTGGGTGTATTTAATTTTTTTTTTCGTTTTGTTTATCCTTTATTATCACGCATTCACGTCACATCACTCACTCACTCACTCATTCACTCTCACTCACTCACTCACACTTCTTTAACACACACTTCTCTAACTCACACACACACACTCCATTCACTCATGCACTTCACTCGCTCAATCACATAGGCATTCACGCACCCACAAAAGGTAAGCTGGGGGACGAGGAAGAAGGAAAAGTGGAAAGATGAGAAGGAAAAGTTCAAGGTGATAGAGGAATGGAAGTAGAGAAGAGGGAGAGAGGGGAGGGAGAGAGGGGAGGGAGAGAGGGAGGGAGGAAGGGAAGGAGTAATGGTGGGAAGAAAGGAGGGAGGGAGGGAGCAACAGTAGTGGTGAGGGGTGGATGGAGAGAGAGAGAAGGAAGGGAGAGAGGGGGGAAGGAAAGGGAAGGAGCAACTGTAATGGTAGGAGGGGGAGAGGGGAGGGGAGGGACCACACAGGTATATAAACACGGTGTTGGGAAGCGCCTGGACTTTCATTCCTCCTCAGGTAGGCTTCCGCCACCCACCTCCACAATATGGACGCTGCCGCTACGCTGGTGAGATTCTTATTATCCTTCACACACACACACACACACACACACACACACACACACACACACACACACACACACACACACACACACACACACACACACACACGGCATTATTCATTCAAACGAGACATTCACAATTATCCCAAACAAAGATCATACTTGTTTGTTCATTCATAAATTTACTCCATACACTTGGCTGACCATACAGTATACACATGTTTAACAGTGTGCCAATTAATTTTTGGCTGTTCACGTTTAATTACATGTCTAGCAGAGCCTATATCACCTTTACACATATGACTGACCATGTAAGTCACACACATGGCGAATAATACATAAACTATATACATGGTTGTCAATGAATTAAATGAATATACATATAGTTGGTCATGTATTATTTATACACATGCCTGATCATACTCTAATTATATATATATATATATATATATATATATATATATATATATATATATATATATATATATATATATATATATATATATATATATATATATATATATATATATATATATATACTGTATTTGACATATACAGCACTTCATAACAATTCATATTATTAAAAAAATCAATAAGTAATTTTAAATATACAAGCAAATTAAACAAAGTAACATTTCCCTTATTTTTTCTTACTATTCGTTTACGATTTTTTATCCTAAGAAATTGAAAGGAGCATTTTTCGCCTGTTTTCATTCATATTTTTTCTTTCATTTTTTTTACATCTACTGTACTTGTCTAATATTTCGAAAATATTATTCACAATTACAATATCGTTCACGACTTATGTGATTTATTCAATAATTTGTAAACCCTTTGAGCATAATGCCATCGTACTCGGGGGATTAAGTCATCTTAATCAAGGGGGTTAGTTCATTGTAATAAAGGGATTTACATCACACTTAAGGGGTTGTCACTATACTCAAAGGGTTTAGTCATCCTATGCTCAAGAGTTTAATTAATTTCATTACAGGAATTTGCATCATACTCAATGGGTTAATTAATAGTGCATAAAGGGTTAAAAAAATTAACGTATTTCCTAGGGTGTGAATGATTGTAATATCTAATTATTGTTGTACACACACACACACACACACACACACACACACACACACACACACACACACACACACACACACACACACACACACACAAACTCTATAAAATATACCCAAATTTTTCACCCGTAATGGTGGTGGGTGTATTGTAGTGAGATTAATTACAGACAAGATTAATTAAATGCATTTTCAGTATTAAGCTCGGGAACAACCATCTCCCACACACACCCACGCACACATACTGTATACACCCACCCACATACCCCCACCCCCACACACACACAACTGTTTATTGTGTATATTCTTAGAATCGTGGATACTTCAGCGAGTTGTTTTTTCAAGCTCGCTAAACTTCTGTTAAAAGAGTAAATTGACTTCCTACACAAATTTCAGGGAAGAGGAATAACTCATCCCGGAAAAACTACTCATCGTTCGGTAAATGTTTGTGCCTCTAAGTCTTATCTCGTAATGTAACTGGTTGATGGCAGAAGAACCTCGATAATGATTGGTCAATCGTAACTGTTTGTAACTGTGGTATACTTACGCACAGGAACGCATTAAGGAAGACAGTCTATTAATACGTTAAAATCTGAGGGACTCTATGCACTCAAGACACATCTACGCAAATATACGCACAAGTCAAGAACCTCAAAAGACCTTTCGATATATTTTACATATCTTAGGAAGTTGAATCTCATTTACACCCAAAAGTCTAGTGGACTCTCTGCCTCTCATACATCTTTAACTCGTCCCCGGAGCTTCACAAACAATTACTAACCTTTAAGCTCTTTTATCTAAGTACATCCTTCATTAATCACTCCCCCTGCAGCTTCCTGTCACAGCTTAAGCGTAAATCCACCAACTTGTGCTGATGAAACCAATGAGGAAAACCTGACCATGACTAGTTGACAGACAGACAGACAGACATACAGACAGACAGACAGACAGACAGACAGAGAGACACACACACAGCAGGTCATTACTCTCACCACAGTTGAGGTTTCCTTTCATCACTTATGAATCACCCGCCACTTACTGCCACTAGTCTCTTTAACACTGCCACTCCCTCCAGACAACACTGGCAGTGATGATGTGCGCCACTAACTCCTTTACCGTAGTCACCGCAGTCTTCGTCCCTGAGGTCCTCCCCCCCGTCTACAACGCTGGCCAACCCCCGCCCACGCCCGTCTACCACCCTCCCTACCGCCCACCACCCATCATACCCGCCCCAACCCCACTGGCAACCCACCCCGCGCCCACCACCCCTTATGTTCCATCGCCAACAACACCTTCCACCCACCGACCATCCCTGGGCAGTTCCTCCCCACCTCGACGCCCACCGGTATCAAGAAGACCTCAGCCAGTGTACAGCCCTCGGGTGCCGCAGAGGGTGAAGAACACACACAAGCTAGCGACGCCCCTCCTCCACAAGCCAGAGACGCCCCTCTTCCACAAGCCAGCAGTAGCCCACGAGACTGGCGACTTGGGTGTGGTCAACAACGAGGTATGGCAAGGTGACTGGTCCAGGAGAATAACCTGACTGACACATGCACACACCTGGCTGACAGCGACCTGACATTACTACTACTACTACTGACTGGGCTAAGTACTGTTTACAATTCTTACATTGACTGAGTTCATAATAGTATGATTTCCTGACGATTTTAAGAAGATTTTTGGGTTAATTTTTATCCCGTATATTTAAAGATTCATATTGAATTTTCACAAATTTTTATTTCATGACTCATTTACTTGATAATATTTCAGTAAAAAATTTAATATCTGCTTGTATTATAATTTTTATTCTTTGACTTTAGCTTACAGAAATTTTTTAAATGCTGACTGACTTAACCAAATTATAAATTTTTTTTTTTTTATCCACAGAAGCATATTCAAACGAAATTACAGGCCCCGAGTCAATTATTTCAACTGACTGACATATTCATTGAACTTTCCAGCAATTTCATTCATTTACAGATTTTTACGACGTTTTACTGACGGACTCGTGTACTGTATCACGAAATATACTTCAGTTTGTTGACTTCACTATTAACTGTTGCTTATACGTACCTGTAATTTGTTAATCAATGTTAAAATACCTGAGTAAGAACAAAACACATGTTACCTGTAATAACACCTGTTGTCTCCACTAAGCTGTTTCTTTTGCTAGGAACCTTAAACCAGCTTAAGAGTCAGTTTAGGTCCAGTGTGCCGGGACAGTGTCAGCTTAAATGCCGAGTGTCAGATTTGTGTCAGTTTGTGCATGAATGTCAGCTTTGGTAATGTGTATCAGTTAAAGTGTCAATTTGTTTACAATGTATCACCTTAGTGCCAGCTTAAAAAGTGTCAGCTTTTTTTAATGTTTTCAGGTTATGTCGGGATGAACACCTGTATAATTAGTGAGATATACACCTGACTGCATGCTAGGATATACATACACTTATTCACACACTGGATATACACCTGTGCACATCCTAGAATACCGGGATAAACACCAGTACGCATACCTGGATATACACCTGTACACATACCGGGAGGATATACACCTGTAATATTGATGCACCTGTTTCTCTTTCAGGTTTTCAGATTTCTGCAACACACACTATCATTCCCTATATGACAAAGAGAACATCTGTGAAACTACTTTAAAAAAAAAATCCCACTGGACAAAATACCATCTATTGGTGTAGAAAGGAGGACAAAATCACACGACGAAAGTACTAAAAGATACAATATCACACTACGAAAAAATAATACAAAAATGACAAAATCCCAATTGAAATACCGAGAACAAAACCCCATCAATCAAACGACTTGAAGACAAAATCCCATCAACTAAACTACCTAATCGGACAAAATCCCAACAACGAAATATCTGAAGAACAAAATCCCATAGCTTAATAATGTTCAAGGTATCGACTCCAACCTCACCTGAATGACCCGGTCCAGGTGCACAAAATAAATGGCATGGAGAAGGACAACCAATTAACCTTTTATCCTACACACAGACAGGTGGAGGAGCAGCGGGAGACCTTGAAATATAACAATGAACGTTTCCTATAATTTAATGAGAACAATAAGAGTTAGGTAAGGGTGAATCGGTTTTACATTAGGTGTATATATATTCCGTGTACACCTAGATTCACCAAAGGTTAAAACATGATTATTTTACACCCTTGAGTACGATATTTTAACCTCCTCCCCGCCCAGAGTGAAATGAATTGGCCTATTGAGTACGATGACTTAATCCTCTGAGTATAATGGATTAGTTATGATTATGAAATCTTATCCAATCGAGTATGATATTTTAAACCCCCCAAAGAAAAACGAATTAGCCCAGAGTACGATGATTTAAACCCCTGAGTAGAGTACCAAGATTAACCCACTGAGTATAATACCTGAACCCCATGAATAAATGAGTACCAAGGTTTAATCCCAAAAATACTCTGAATTAACCCACTGAATATAACCCAAACTCCATTTAAATACGATGATTTGACCTTTCGAGTACAATATCACCACCATTAAGGCGAGTAGGGCAGGCCACCGTATTCAAAGGGTTAATTAATTAAGACGTCTTTCCACTCATGGGATTAAGTCATCACACTCAAGGAACTGGGGGACTATCTCACTAAGTGGCTTTAATTCATTACTTACAAGGTCGAACAAATACACCAGACATCATGAGGCGGTAAACACACATTATGACTCTCTCTAAAACACCAATGATGATGAAATAGTTTTAAATGCAGTAGTTTTTTTGTTGTGTGTGTGTGTGTGTGTGTGTGTGTGTGTGTGTGTGTGTGTGTCCTCCTAAATCCCTTAATTCATTCCATATAAAACTGGAGGAGAAAAGACGAAAAATAGACAATATGTACTGTAGATAAACTGTTAGATGGATCGATAGATATAGACAGACAGACAGACAGACAGATAACGAACAGCTATATAGACAGACTTACTCCGTGTGAGGCTCCTACACCTGAACCACCCAAGTTAATTGAGAATAAAGTAAGACTGATTGCTCTCTGTTCCTCGTCAGGGTCTCGGAGCACCTGGGGAACACCTCCACCTTATCTCTTTAAGAAGCTACAATATTTTCACCTTGACGTTATTACTTGTTTGGTGGAAGAGATAAAATAAATTGTTTTATTTTGACTGTTTCTGAGTTACAGTGTGTGTGTGTGTGTGTGTGTGTGTGTGTGTGTGTGTGTGTGCGTGCGTGTCCACCACATGTTATTGGGGATAGAAAAGTATTTATTGACCTATTATTGTGTTTAATGATTTGTTCTGTAATGATGTGTCTGGTTGCCTGCATCTGTATTTATGCCTTCACTTAGATAGAATCTATTTCATATACACATGTCCCTACACCTGTACCTGCACCTCTACCTTGTTTCTGATTTATTAAATGAGATGGAATGAGAGCACCTGTCACTAACACCTGCAGACACTACCTCCCTCAACGTATTATCTCCTTCGGCAGGAACCAGACTTCTACTCCTTCAAGTACGGGGTGAAGAGCGAGGTCAGCGCCTTCACTCACGCCGAGGAGTACGACGGACGGACAGCCTCTGGCACCTTCAGTCTCCGTCAACCCAACTCACACCACAACCTCGTCTACGTCGCAGGCTGATATCTATATCTGTGTGGCCGGATGACACAACTGCAACTGTGGTCGGATGATACTTTACAACTTTACTTGTGGCCGGATAATACACCATATCCTCACCTATGGTCAGATGATAGACCACATCTTCACCTGTGGCCGGATGATAAACGACACCTTCATCTTTGGCCGGCTAACAGCTTAAATCTTCTCTGTGACTGGATGATAACTTCACAAATATTACGTATCGCGATAAAAGTTAAATTACAATTAACACAAAGGCGGCAGAAGTTACAAATTACAACTATCAAGAACAATTACTAACAAAATTCCACACATCAAAGAGATCGTTACTAAGTACTGGCAAAAAAAAGTGGTGATTACTATTATGCAACAATGGAGTCTAACATCCTCCTTCCCCAGCCACCACCACCTCCCACTAAATCCCCTACCTTCCTTCCCCCTCTCCCTTCCCCCTCTCCTCCCCCTCCACCACTCACCTCTTACCACGACAATTCCGCAGCCTCCATCCATCCATGCTGGGAGGTCACCATGGCAACGAGACGTCACACCCTGCTCCAAGATTACTCTAAAAGGGGGGTCCACACCCCCCCCATCCTCTTTCCCCCACTCTCTTCCATTCCTTTTTATAGCCTTAATCTCTTTCCTCTTCTCTGTTTCTATGACTTCCTTCATATTTTATCCCTCTCTCTTCCATTCCTTTCCCCCCTTCTCCTTTCTTTATACCTCTTTCTTAGTCTCACCATCTCCCGTCCAGTCTTCTCCGTCCTTTCCCTCTTTTATCCCCATCTATCCCTCCTCCTTGGCTTTACCCCTTCCCCTTCTTCCTGTCTCCTCCTTTCCTCCCTTCCAACCCCCGACTCCCTCCTCCACTACCCCCACTTCTCCCCCTCTCTATTACTCTCATTCCTCCCTCTGTACCCACCCCCCATAATAAGCCTAAGTATCCTTGACAACGGGACTCCTCTTAACCTTCCCCCTGGCTGTCAATGTGTCGCTTTACTCTTGACCAAAAATCTCTGACCCGTCGACCATCTTGAACCCCTGACTGATAATTCCAAACCATAAGTTCTGATTATCATATATTTTACCTGTCAGTGTCATCACGTTCGGGAAAAAAAATAATCCGACATTTATCCACCTTTTAATCCAGATTCAAGTACTTAATTATATAAATATAAATACAAGTACATACTCAGGTAGACAGCACAGGTAGAATAAACTCCCTTGTGGTGACAATGTTATCAAATTAGTGCCTTAAAATACCTATACACTTGACTCCCTATAACCTAGTCATCTACACTGAGTTATATAGTCACCCCACGAGTGTAAAAATTATACCTTAACTCACACTTGACTATACAAATAAAAACTCCTTAATCTAGTCAGGTAGGTCGGCAACACAGGTAGAGTAATCCCCAGGTGCTGACAGTGTTATACAGATGGTGTCTTCAGCCAGATGTGTCAAGTATGTGAAATTACTGAACTGAATGAGAGAGAGAGACCCGATTGTGTGATCAGTTGTCTCCATCACCACCTTGTACAACACCTTCACCTTGAGCCATAGAACACAGGTGATACAGACTGTGTGGAAGGACTCGTACAATTAACCTCTATGACATGGGATGATAATATAGACGATGAAATATGACAGAGACGTTGTATATAGGTCAAGGTAAAATAACAAATGACGATAAAGGTATGTATATAAATCTTCACTCCTGGAAGTTCTTTTCAAGCTATGACAAAAATCAAAAGCAAAACTGACTCTCTCCAAACTTGTTATTGTTCATAATAAATAACTGAATAAATATATATATATATATAAAAATATAATAAAAATTTAACAGAATAACTTTCATTTCTACTTCAAACCCATCTAAGATAAAATAAGTTGGATCTATCTATTCATTTCAGCATCTCAGTGTCTTCTAGCAAGGCTAATTTTAACCAACCACTCAAGATTGTCTCCTTAACTAGTCTCATCCAACATCATACTAGAAATAACATCCTTCAATACGTCCTAAGGCTAGCTCTATAACGCTACACTAAGAGGTGATATCCTTCTATAACTTCCTAAGCAGTCCAGCAAAGCCACAGGACCATCCTTCAATAAGCACTACACAGCATAATACACACCGGGTATCACACTCTGCCTCACCTGGCCAGCTGAGAGCCGTCACCTGATGTAAAAACAACTAGACTCTATGACGGCTTGATGACACACACGAGAGAGAGAGAGAGATAATTCGACACTATCCCACAACTAATTACGATCGGAAAGGTACTTCTGGGAGCTGTCTCACCTGTTTGTATTACTTCCGCGAAACCGAAACTGGGTAATAATGAAACTCTCTCTCTCTCTCTCTCTCTCTCTCTCTCTCTCTCTCATACACACACGAATATCAAATTATTAAACATTTTTTTTTTTTACCAAATTGACTGTGGAAAATCCCAAACCCATTAGTACACTTGCCTGAAAGGAAGGTAGCGGCGGCACCCTCCTCGCTCCAGGCACACAGGTGAAAGTCCTAGACGCACACAGACGCACTTACCTGTTGGGAGAGAAAAGATAACCAAATTAGTTTTACTTATAGTCATTAATAATCACATAAACTTATAAAGATTTCAATATTGCAAAAGTTTACACACCTAAGATAAACAGTAAATGTTTTATAATATAGTTGTAAAGTATGAAACTAAATATATAAATAAATACATAAAATCATTTGTTTGAATCATATACAGTATAATAAGCTTCGAAGATGTAAGTTTAATCTATGCATAAACATAATATTACAAAATGTTAACATCTGTAATTCAAGAACAAAATTTAACACTTAAAAAAAAAACCATATATAACGTTGCTTCAGAGACAAAATAATTCATATATATTCAAAAACACTAAAATCATATAAAAATGCTAAGGCTTCTAAATATAAAACTAAAATACACCTTGATAATTAAAACACTAAGTCCCTCAAGGCTTAAGAAAGATAATTGAGATATAAATCAACTTTAACCCATGTCAGCACAGATGTTACCTCAGTAAAAGTAAATAATAAGAGTTAAAAGTCATTAGTAAACCCGTAAACCATTTAAAGCATCAACAAAACAATAAAAACTTAAACCTAAAACTATAATTATGAACTTAATCTATTGACTTGAAACCAAACTTAATTCACATAATAGGGACCTAAATTGTTTGACATCCACATAAGGTGTCTTGAATTACCACATATCCACACGTATATAATTGGTTCATATCCACACTTTTATAAATGGTTCATATCCACATGTTTATAATTGATCCACATTCACACATATCCATAACTGATCCACACCCATCAGGAAATATACCTATTACCTATCCACACAAGATAGATTTATAAAACTACTTCACATTCAATAAACTTAAGAGTGTTTACAATGCGTAATACAAATAAAGACAATAGTGTGAATATAAGCGTAAAGACGAAAAATAATAGAGAATTAAATAAATAGTGTAGATATAAAACAGATAAACACAAACACAAAGAGAATAGTAAAATAATGTCAAGAAATCAATAATAATAATAGTAACATCATACGCAGTTCCCGCCCTCCTGCTCCGCCCTCTACAGTGTTGGTTTCTCAGTCACGAACTAAATTGAGGTTAAGTTTATGGTCCGGAATAACTAACCCACTCCCCACACACTGACACACACCGAACCATGTAACTACAGACACCGTATAGACACAAAGATTCTAAACATTAATTTTTGTGAACCTATTAATTATTGTTTACCTATTTTAAGTCTTAATTGTCATTTTTTTACGTTATTTCTCTCGTTTATCTTATTATTTTCTCTTATTTTTGCGTTTTTTATTTTTTTTATTTATTTTTTGTAAGTCAACCAGTTAGGAGAAAATATCACCGCACGAACTTCTGAGAAACATGAAGACAACTTTTATTGGGCCGAGATCCGGTTAACCAAAGTTCATTCCCTTTGCAATTTCTTAAGTTGCTAAAAAATATTGGGTGCAATACACTACAATAGCTGGTTGACCACTACGATAAACCTGGGATATGGTAACTAGCTCCTGAAACGTGAGGGAAATCGTTTTATATTGCAAGGGAGGAGAAGTACTGTTAGCCAGCCAGTGTACCAGACGAAGTCCCATGGTTAGTGTTTTTCTAGCACTTATTACTTCTATTACCGTAAGTACTTCAACTACTGCTCGTATTACCTATTATTGTGACTTCTATTACTATCATTAACACAACTCCCCCACAATATGTGTGAGAGGCAGGTATAAACACACGTCGTAGTGTTTCATCTTCCACTAGTGTATAATTTTACCATCTGGTGGTGGTGGTGATAGGGAGGTAGACGTACTGGTGGTGGCGACGATGGTGAAGGTTGGTGGTAATAGTTATGGGAGTAAGTGGTAATAATAGTTATGGGAGTAAGTGGTAATAATAGTTATGGTGGTGGTGGTGGTGGTAGTAGTAGTAATAGTGGCGGTCGAGTGGATAAAGGCTTTATGGGTCGGTGGTTCGATCCCCAGGCACTCCCAGGTCACCCAGCGGTATATGGGTACCTAAGTTAACAACTAAGGCAAGTGAATGCGGTCGTGTGCAGTACTGGCCATATTGCCTCCTTGTGTACCGAAGGCTTAGTATATTGCGCTGTATCCACACTGTCCCTAATGGGCAGTCAAGCCTATGAGACCCACATTCACCTTTTTTTCAGTAGTAATAGTAACAGTAGTGGTAATGATGGTGCTATAGTAGTGGCAGCGATGGTGGTGGTATTGATGGTGGTGATTGTGTTGGTATTGGTGGTGGTGATTGTGGTGGTAACAGTGGCGACGAACACAGCTGTAACATGGCCTCGGGTGTTTCTCTCTCAAGACGGGATAAAAGTCACCTCGTCGACGCGGCCAGAATAGTGATTACCATGGTGCCTTAACATGACAGAGGGGAAGGGAGAAGGAGAAGCCTGTGTTACCGCACCTCTGTCCTTTAAATAACAATAAAAAAACAAAAAAACCTGAGTGGAATATATGAATGTGTGTGTGTGTGTGTGTGTGTGTGTGTGTGTGTGTGTGTGTAAGTGTGTGTGTGTGTGTGTGTGTGTGTGTTTTCTTATAACACATGAGGATTATACTTTTCATGACGAACAACACAAACTTTCTATACCGTGGATTACAACTCTTACTACTGATAAGACATGTTCCTTATTGCTGCCAGAGCGGTTCCAGTGATTCCAGTAACTAATTCTACACATTAATATTAACATTCTACACATTCATGGTAGCATTATGCATCTTTTTTAATGACCCTAACATTCCACATCACTCAGTAATCTTCCAATCCATTTACATCAACATTCAACACCATTTTAACATCAATCAACACCTCCAAACCTTTTAGTAACATTCTACACATTTATAACATCATTCAATAACACCATTTAGCAACATTCTACTCGTTCAACTGGAGGGAAGTAAGGCAGTGGGTCGTTGTTTATGGCGGCTCTTGTGGGAAGGAGGAAGAGGCAAGACAGTGGTAATCAACCCGTGAAATAAGCTACAGTAAAACGTCTCCCTCGTGTTCCATACCAAAGAAAAACGCTCACCCACTCCTGAGGTGTTATTGCATTCTGTTGATGTATTATTGCATTCTGTTGATTTTATTATTGCATACTGTTGATATTTATTGCATTCTATTGATTTTGTTATTGCATTCTGTTGATTTTATTATTGCATACTGTTGATATTTATTGCATACTGTTGATACATTATTGCATAGATCTTGATGTTTTGTTGTAAACTTCCCACGTCTTACTGCATACTCCACCCCCCCATGACTTAACCCTTTTGAATTAAACGATGTTCCTAAAGAGCATAAGTCGCCATTTTCAAGGGGTTAAGTCATCGTATTGAGAGGTCTAAGTCATCGTACTGAAGAGGTTAAGCCATTCTCAAGGGGTTAAGTCATCATACTCAAGAGTTTAAGTGATTATACTGAAGGAGTGAACAGAAAACGAAACAGCTATTCCTAATCAACTAAAATACTGAGAACATCTACAGTGCCTAACGATAATTACAACACTTACTCAGAATACAGACTAATGCGATTGTTATAACAGGTAAGAGAGGAACGAATGACTGTAATTGACTGTTCAGGCTGTATTGCTTTCATGTATTAATTTTCTTAGCTACAGATAGTCAATTTGTATCAAGTTTAATAGTAACGATTTTTTTTAAGAGGTTTAATTTCATATCTGGTTTTTGGGATGAAATAATATAATGTACTTGAGTTGAGGCTCATACTTGACTGCTTGAAATGCTCTCCAACCAGCCACAATGTTATCACGTGTATTCAGTGGTAATTAATTGCTATTAATTCAGCTTAGGGAGGCAGTGAGGGGCTGTTATTATTAGGTCCACACACACACACACACACACACACACACACACACACACACACACACACACACAGAGGAAGAATTAAAGAGTTACTGAAGAAGAATATGGATTAGCATACGTGACGGTTCTAGCATAAAAAAAACACATTAAACATTATGCAAATTACCGAGACAAAATGGATGCAGTTAATTTCTCAGGAAAACACAGACAAGCTTGACGGTTTAATTGTGAAAACTTTTTTTATATAATCATACAACAAAATTATACAACACATTAAAATTATACAGTTTAAAATTGAGAGAGAGAGAGAGAGAGAGAGAGAGTGTGTACTATCTCCCAACGATAATGACACACACACACACACACACACACACACACACACACACACA